GGTTTCCAGTGTGTACAGAGTGCATCGCAACTGGATGGGTGACACAGCTGGAACCGAAAAAAAGTGTACTGATCGATGGCTGCGCAGTGTACAGTGCATTCTTTACTTTACCTTTCACTTTGGTTTTAGTTGCATTTCCTAATGGAACGATGTACAGTGCGGAAAGTTCCCCGGCGTATAAAGAAGACTGGCATAAATGTTACAGTTCATACTTTGAATGACTTGCCCTATCAAGTATTAGTACTCACAGTGAATGCTGATAATGATGTTACTCACCAGCAGCCAATGCTACAGAGTAGAAGCTGAAGTTGCTCAGTAGCATCCAGTGAATGGTCAGGATACAGAAGTCACTCAGGCACATTCCCACGTTGCACGCACGCTCTCCCCACTTGCCCAGGTAGCAGCTGCACACGGCGGAGAAATCGGCAGCGGCACCTCCAACACCTGCATGGAGGACACAAATGGAGAGTGTGCATAGAAGACAAGGTGAAGAGTGTGCACATGGAAGACGTGGGTGAAGGTGTGTTTGTGGAGGACATGGGTGAATTTGGTGTGCATGGAATGTACTATAACCGTGTCACTAGGACTACTGCAGACCCACAACCGAACTCATAGTTACGTTTCACACTGATTTAATTCCATGAGGTTATTGTTGGGACTAAGAAAAAGGACTAACTAAAAACAATGTTGGGAGAGCAAGAACCATGTCGCACCATACCGACGCATGCGCATGGTGCATCGAACCGGAACTAAAGACTAAAGTACAGAGCACGCGAAGGTGCAGTACATGTATGCGCCTGCAAGCAGCAGTGTCAGGAATGCAGTGAATCGCACCACACCGCACGGCAGCCACCGTTAGCACGTCATGCAGTCTATACAACGCAGTGGCTCATGATCATGAAGAGAAAGCGGCACCAACCGCAAGAAGCCTATAGATTAGAAGATAAGAAGCACACCGCACATGCAGTGGAACAAGGAGTCACGCATGACTCATCCCTGAACGACAACGCCATGCAAGTACTCATATACACAGGAAAGAACACAAACAGTGCACACAGCAACGAACAGAAGCAGCTAGTACACGTACTTGTACTAGGAGACGTTCACACAACACCATGAATACTAGCTAGTGTCAGTCAGGATGGTGGAGGGGGTCACCATTACACTTCAGGAAGACCAAGACCGAGTTGATTGAGTTGATGTCACAAGTATTTGTGTAGATACTACAAATCTGCGAGTGGGTGGGAACAATTGGAGTGGCCACCTGCAATTACTCAATCTTTGGACGTGAACGAGAGAGACCCATCCGTACCTTACCCTGAGCATTTGTTTAGTACCCAAAACTGCTGGAAGGTTACACCTTGCCTCCAAGAAGGAGGGGGGGGGGGGGGCATCGAAAAATAACATCATAACAACCCGTCAGTCTTGGAATGCTGGTCACAAAGGGAAAGCTTTTCACTGTTAGGCGTTAGGGTTGTGGCTACCACACGGTTCGCTCTCAAATTGTTTACGCCGACTGGAGGCTAACTATGATTGCTCTACATGTACATCAGTGTCTGCTCTAGGATTGTAGGACAGCCGGGTACACGTGTACCTGGCGCAACCATTTCAACCGGGTCGGAGCCGGGTACACATGTACCTGGCGCTGTCTCACCAGCCGAGTCACATGCTTTAACTGGTTGGTTGGTTTATTTTAATTCGGACAATAAACGGGAACTAGGCCCAATGATATAAAGGCGAATGGATAAGCCGCATTTAGAAAAGAGAGGACAGGAATTAGAAAATTACGAAAGAAGAAGAAGTATCTGACACATACATGAACAAGCCATGTAGTCAGTCCTTTCAAAGTTCGAAAGTGTAGGGCGTTAGCCTTTCGGTACTCGTAATCCTGAAATAAAGATTACAATTATTCTAAAGTACCAACGGGTCACAGGTGACCCGGTACTATATTTTCAACCGGGTCCAAGCGCCGCCCAACCGGGTGGATTACCCGGCTCACCCGGCGCTGGAGCAGACACTGGTAACATACATGTACTATGATGAAGTGGCAAGCAAGGTCATACCCAGCGCACCACACTTGCTGGTGAAAGTCATGTACAAACTGTGCATTCCAGTAGCAGCAGGTCTGTCAAGCACTGTACTATACAGGTCTACCTCGTTAATAGAAAACCCCGGCGGTTTCAAATTTAGGTCTTATACCTATTTTTCTCTACTACCCGGACTTGCATGTACGCGTTTCAGGCGTCAGGGTTTTTTGGTTTATTGTCTGCTAATGAGGTTTGTCTTTTAGCTGATTTCGCACTAACGAGGGTAGACACTGTACATGTACAGAAGTACAGTGTACCTCACAGTCTGCAGCTAGCAGTTCAGTGCACTCACCGGCATCGTGCATCCTCTGCACCACCAGCCGACACGTGTAGAGCAGCGCTAGGGATGTGACCAGGACGAGAGCAATACCCCGCACCAAAACCTGCCTTAGCCATTGCCCACGGCAATACCAACATGCAGCACCAAGCATGTTGCCCCATAGTGAAAGACTGCAGGAAGAGGAGCGCAGGTAGAAACATTCAACACACTAAATGAAAAAGATGAAAAAAACCTGAAGCACATACCTATGTTGTAACTAGCTTGTCTTCACCTTCTCTCCCAGTCCCGTGTCCTCTCCGCACTTATACAATGGACGACGATAGCTACATTGGAAAGACTGTTTATACAAGACGAATACGGAAACACAACTATACTTGACGAACTCAAGACGAAGACTGCTTTTCACACCACAGCAACATGCGCATGCACCAACACCACACACCTCCAACTTCAGCAAGTTCAACACATTCTGAATCCAAGCACGTAGAACACAGTCAGTAGGGAGGTTTAGTCCCACGTAATCCGTGGGTACTTTACGTGTGTGTACCACGTGATACTCAGTGACCCACGTACAGACGTTTTCTGATTCACGACATACCGTGTATGGAGGCTCACCCACGTTCCGCCAGAACGTGGGTGAAAATCAGAATGGAGCGCATTGTGCGAGCTGTGAGGGTGCTCAGCTGAAGAAGTTTCTGAAGCACGAATCAAAATATTGGATGAGCTTCTTAGGCCGGGTAGCTTCGTCTTTGACCAGGTTTGGGCCTTTTGCTTCATGCTTCTGTTTGTTTCGTGTGACTAAACACAAACATTGCAACGTGGGTGCCCTTCATCCACTTTACGTGGATCACCCACGTACGCGTTTCCCTTACGTGGGAACTAAACCTCCCTATTATCACTAAACTTGAAGCATGCTGAGATGGACACACATGACCAAGGCACTAATACAGCGCATACATGTATATCATTAACGGGACTACACCTGGATTCGTGGTTGCAACGGCTATGCGGAGTGGTGCTGTCTTGCAGTTTTCCATGTGGCTCATACGTTACCGGCAGGTGGCCGGGTTCATGAGTCAATCAATTGTCAATCAGCTGGCAGGCAATATGAGCTTTGGCTGGGAGCAGCTAATGTCTACTTACACAGCAATTCTAGCATGCGTAATTCACTGCTGCATCCAATGCATGCACCACCATTTCCATGCATTCTCTGACTTACATGGCCACTAGGCTTCCGTGTGCAAGTGTGCTTGTGTCCATGGGAGTGCTAGAAAGGGTCGGGTGACACTTGTAACGGCACGGATCACTATCAAACGACCTCTGACTCTGCAGGCAATCATTAGTCACACAGCACATGGTGGCAAGGAGATGTAGAGGGAGAGGCTAAAGTTTCAGTAGCTAACTTCATTAGCTATCTTGATGAAGCCAATGTAGTGGCACATACCAGGCGCGTGCACCAGTGCCCTTCGAGGGGGGGGGGGGGGGTTCCGGGGGCCTCCTCGGGAAAAATTTCAAAAAATGAAGCAAAATCCTGCATTTTGAGCGAAAAAGGGGGGTTCCGGGCACCCAGGAACCCATACGGCGCACGCGCCTGCATACACAACACGGCTGGAGCCCCCTCTCCCAGACTCAAACACTAACCGATGACGGCATTCCAAATTTGTGAAATCGTCCCCTTGCTGACTGGCCTTCCTGTTGCAGTATTGGCCGGCTACCAAGTAAAACAGGTGCCACCGTGTGGCACGCAAACATACACACACACGCATGTGTGCATGCACACACATACACACACGCACACACGCACGCACACACACACACACGCACACCACACACACACATACACATGAAGATACACAACAAAATTGTAATCAGTATAGAGGCAGTGTTGGTAGCAAGCTATGATCACAATAGAGACAAAGTGCCTGAGGGTTCCATATAGTCAAGTGCTGAATCGATGATTTGGACGGGGCACTGAGCCAATATCAGTGTGCAGCTCTGATACACCTAGCATATTTTATTTCCAGAGCGTGTTGGCTTGCAGCTTGGGCATTTACAGTCAGTGCTCAAGTAGGCGTCGCTACAGAACATTATGGCAAACTTGGAGCAGGTTACTGTCGGGTGCTTGGTAAACCTGGGTGTAGAGCCTTGTGCACACACAGAGAGAGAGAGAGAGAGAGAGAGAGAGAGAGAGAGAGAGAGAGAGAGAGAGAGAGAGAGAGAGAGAGAGAGAGAGAGAGAGAGAGAGAGAGGAGAGAGAGAGAGAGAGAGAGAGAGAGAGAGAGAGAGAGAGAGAGAGAGAGAGAGAGAGAGAGAGAGAGAGAGAGAGAGAGAGAGAGAGAGAGAGAGAAGAGAGAGAGAGAGAGAGGGAGGAGAGAGAGAGAGGGGGGGGAGAGGAGGGAGAGAGAGAGAGAGAGAGAGAGAGAGAGAGAGAGAGAGAGAGAGAGAGAGAGAGAGAGAAAGAGAGAGAGAGAGCAGGGCAAATTAACCTCAGTCTTGTACTATTTGTAACTCCGAGTTGCAATAGCTCTATTTTACTTCACCATAGTCACAGGCAATATCTGCCTTCTCATTGGGCGTATTGCCAGTTCCCACAAAAAATGAAGACACATAACACAAGTTCCATACAATTACATGATGTAGGTCTTACCTGGAGAAGCCATCGCTGACATCACCAATGTTATGGCTTTCTGTGAAGCTCGAGTATCTAACATTCTGTATCCCCCTGTAAGCGTGGGCAGAGTAACGAATGCATTCGGAGAGCAAACATTTACATCATCCAGGGCGTAAGCGTGTGCACACATGCATTCCAGTAAGCTTGTGTGTGTGTGTGTCACGGTGTGTGTGTGTGTGTGTGGTACATGGTGTGTGTGTGCGCGCGCGCATGCATGTGCCAGCTAGTTCGGTTGGTGGGTACATTATGCCGGATAGTGTTGGGTCTGTTGCCAACGGGCTCGGCTGCTTGAAGGTGTGTTGTACCTACCACCTTTGTTGGTTTCAGGGTTCATATACTTTCTATTTGAAGTATACATACCTGTTAACTGGCCAGCTCTCTGTCTGGCTCGCTTTACTGGATTCTACTATTTCTAGACTGTATTCTTCAGGCTCACTTCAGGCTCGACTCGCATTGCAAACTTCTGTTGTTATTGTGTTTCCAACTAACCAACTACTAAAGAAGAAGACTACTGAAGACTAGCCGAAAGGGAAAGGCACCTGCGTCTTATAACAGCAGGGCAACATAAAGCACAGCAGGCCGAGCAGGGCGGCATAAAAGGCACAGCAGGCCAAGCAGGGCGGCATAAAAGGCACATGTGAAACCAGAGACCCGGACCCGTCAAAGCATGCAAATGAGGGCCGCTCTATCGCCTGACATGAATGCATACAAACCAGTATACATGACCATGCGTGCACATCTCCCCCTTCACTCACGAAATGGCATATGAGTGAGTACATGAGCAAGGCAGTGCAGCAGCAAGAATGAGCGCACCGGAAGGCAGCATGTGGAAAGTGCAGACGGACAACCACAAGAGAAAACATCAGACACATCAGAAAAGACTAGAGACAGCACACCAGTGTCAGAGCACCAGCACTCTAACTAACAGAACAGCGCAGCTAACTGTCTGTCTCGACCGGGCGTCGCCTCACTCCACCGGGAGCGGAATGAGGCATTGGATGGCTCGCCGGTAGATCTTGCCCCGGATCTCAACATCCACCACCCTGACGCAACTGTCTGGTCCGGGGAAGACACGCCTCACCCTGCCCAGTGGCCAACTGCCCCGGGGTGTGTCGGGCTCGATACACAGCACCACCTCATCGACAGCGATGTTCTTCTGCGTCTTGCGCCACTTCCTGCGCTGGTTCAGCAGTGGGACGAACTCCAGGAGCCATCTCCTCCAGACCTCCTTCACTGTGCGCTGCACGACGGCGAAGCGATCTCTGGGGTGGACTTGCTCTGTGGCGTTCAGTTTCTCTTCCAACGGCAGAGGTGGGTCGCAGCGTCCTGCGAGGAAATGCTGCGGAGTCAGCGGCTCGAGGTCGGCGGCGTCGGCACTGACTGTTGTCAGCGGACGGGAGTTGATGAGGTCCTCTGCGGCGACGATGGCGGTGTGTAGCTCCTCATCAGTGAGCTCAGCGGTGGCCAGTGCGGATCTCAGAGCGCGCTTCGCTGCCTTAATCATAGCTTCGAAGACGCCTCCAAAATGCGGTGCTCTGGGTGGGTTGAACCTCCACCGGATGTGTCGATCAGCGAGACTGCGCGCGATCTCTGCGCGATCGAGCTGCTCCACGGCTTCTCGTAGCTCCCGTTCAGCCGCGACGAAATTTGAGCCGTTATCGGTGACGATGATGCTTGGCGTGCCGCGCCGCTTAACAAAGCGGTTGAACGCCATGAGGAACCCCCCGGTATCCATGGAGTAGGTGAGCTCCAGATGGCAGGCACGGGTTTCCAGGCACGTCATGAGACAGAGGTAGCGCTTCGCTCGGGTTCTGCCTCGTCCTTGCTTTGTCTGGAACGGCCCGGCAAAGTCGATGCCGCAGTGCGAGAATGGTTGGAGAGACCCGGCAGTCCGAAAGTCCGGCAGAGCGCCCATGATCTGCGCCGCCGGTACACCCCAGTTCTTCCGACACGGAACGCACGACTGGCGTGCCGTCTTGACTGCTAATGCACCGTTTACTATCCAGAACCTCTCCCTCAGGTTGGACAGCAGATGCTGAGGTCCCACGCTGTGGCGGCACCTCCGGTCCTCCTTCTCGATCAGCAGCCGCGTGACAACGTGCTTCTGAGGCAGGATGATCGGTAAGCGTACACGATATGGCAAGTGTTTCGCAGCCTTCAAACGGCCTCCGACCACCATCAGCGGTTCAGCATGTTGATCTAGCGTCGGGGTTAGCGCCGCCAGCGGGTCGCTAGCCTGCATTGGCTTTCCGGCGGCCAGACGCTCCAGGGTTGGGCCGTACGCGTCCTTCTGCGCCTGTCGTATCCAGTGCCTCTCAGTGCGGCCTACCTCACCCGCCGTCAGCTCTGGCACGTTGACAGTAGGGTAGTTCGAGTTGGCTGCTCGCGAAGTCGACACTGCAACGGTGACGTCTTGATCGCTGCTGGTATCCTCCCCCTTCATGCCGACGCGCGGCTTGCGGCGGCATCGGCTGACAAACCGGTAGCACCACGCAGTCACCCTGAGCAGCTGCTCCCAGGTGCGGTATCTGGACGCCTGGAGGCGAGTGGTTGACGTGACGGCAAGCGTGAACGTGGTCTCCCGCTGGATGACGCCTGGCAGACCTTCTGTGGACGCTGACTTCTCAGGCGGCCATACATCTGGTTGCTGCGACAGGAATGCGGGTCCGTGCCACCACACCCGGTCCTCCGCCAACTCCTTCGCTGGTAGCCCACGGGTACCCTTGTCGGCGGGGTTCTGCTTGCCGGGTACGTGCCTCCACTGGGAGGGCTTCGTGGCGTTCTGTAGCTCTGAGACGCGGTTGCCGATGTCGACCTTGAACCTGCGGCTGTGCGAGCGGATCCACCCCAACACGTTCATGGAGTCCGTCCAGAACGTGTGCTCGGCGACCGGGATGTCCAGAGCGTTGCCAACTTCGCTGCTGGTCCGCAGACCCAAGACGGCGCCGCGAAGCTCCAGCTGGGGGATGGTCTGCCGACGAGCCGGGGCTGTCTTGGCCTTGGCCATGGCGAGCGTCACCCGCACGTTGCCGGCTGCATCCTCTGCGCGGATGTAGGTCGCCGCAGCGATGGCACGGTCAGACGCATCCGTGAACGTGTGGACGGAGAGGATGGACTCTGTAGCCGCCTTGAAACTGCGTGGCGCGTTGATGGCGGCCAGGTCGGGCAGCTCGTCAAACCACTCCCTCCACTTTCTGGCGTGTGTGGGAGGAAGCTCGTTGTCCCACGCTTGGTCCAGCAACCAAGTGTCCTGCAGCAGCACGCGGGCACGGATCGTGAACGGTGCAATTTGCCCACGAGGATCGAACGCCGACGCCAGGCCGCTGAGGACGGAGCGCCGTGTCACAACGTGGGACCTCAGCTTGACGGCCAGCGTCTTCAGCTCATCCAGCTCGCGCTCCGTGTTGATCTGCGGCCAGCTCATGAGCTGGCGTTCCTGCTGTTCGAGGCTACGGTCTGTGCCCCCGTACCACCGATCCAGCTCCTCCATGATGGCGGAGTAGGCGCCCGGGCCGTCTAGCACGTCCGCGATCAGGTCCTCGGCCGCTCCGTCCGCCAGTGCCTCCCTCAAGTGTGCGAGCTTATAGTCCTCTGACAAGAGCGGGTTCTCGTGTACTAGACGGAGAAACCGCTGACGCCACTTCACATATGACAGCATCTTGCCATCGAACTTTGGCAGGTCCAGTGGCTTCAGGGACCTGCAGACTCCCATCTGGAACATAGCCGCTCCGTCTGCCCAATCGACTGCTGGGTCGGTCGCCCTGGTGGGCGGGAAGTAGGGTTCCGCTGCAGGGTTGAGTCCCGCTTCCTTGGGCTTGAAGGCCTGCTGGACTGGACGGAGTCGCAAAGGCACTGGCGGGACTGGCTTAGGTGGTGGGCTGGGTCCCGCTCCCTTGGGCTTGAAGGCCTGCTGGACTGGACCAAGTCGCAAAGGCACTGACGGGACTGGCTTAGCTGGTAGACGTCTGGGCTTCGCACGTGGGGCTGGGGTTGGAGCAGGTCGATACTTGAGCAGGCTTGCTCTCGGCACTGGAGCCGAGGTGTTGGGTTGTACTGCAGGCTGCACTGGCTGTTGCATGTTCGGGTGCATGGGCTGCTGTGCAGGCTGTGACCCAGACCCCTGTTCTAACCCGGGCCTGCGATGAGCCACTGCGCCAGCACCTGCGTCGCTGAAGGCACTTCGACTGAAGTGGTTGGCCAGCCTGCGCTTGGCCTCCGCGTCCGATCGCGCACGACGACTTCCCACGCCGCGTGGCCAGCTCCCACCATTGATATCCTCGCTCTCTAGCTCTGAGCTCTCTGGCTCTGAGCTCTCTGGCTCTGAGCTCTCTGGCTCTGAGCTCTCTGGCTCTGAGCTCTCTGGCTCTGAGCTCTCTGGCTCTGAGCTCTCTGGCTCTGAGCTCTCTGGCTCTGAGCTCTCTGGCTCTGAGCTCGAGGTATCCACAGCAGAACTTCGCGCTGACACGGCACTACTCGCGCTGGCCAACTCCTCCGCCGCCCTCGCCTGCTCGACTTCGAGCTCCTTTTTTACCAGGTCAATTCGGAGGTCGATCTCCTGCTGCTTCAGAGCGGCGATCCGCCGTGCAGTCTTCAGTGCTGCCTCCTTGGTCCTACGCAATATCGCAGCTTCAAGTCCAACGTCCCCAAGGCTCTCGCTTGCGGACGTCCTGCCGCCGCTCCTGCGTCCCGACCGCCTCGGCTCTTGGGCCTGCTCCCCATCGGAGAGGAACCGCTTGGGCATCTTACCTAGGGTTCTCCTGCTACTCCTTCGTGGGAACTCCATGTCAGGCAACGGAAACAGAGACTTTGTTTCTGCTGGTCGTGATCCGGCTCGAAGGACCAGTTTATGGCCAGCTCTCTGTCTGGCTCGCTTTACTGGATTCTACTATTTCTAGACTGTATTCTTCAGGCTCACTTCAGGCTCGACTCGCATTGCAAACTTCTGTTGTTATTGTGTTTCCAACTAACCAACTACTAAAGAAGAAGACTACTGAAGACTAGCCGAAAGGGAAAGGCACCTGCGTCTTATAACAGCAGGGCAACATAAAGCACAGCAGGCCGAGCAGGGCGGCATAAAAGGCACAGCAGGCCAAGCAGGGCGGCATAAAAGGCACATGTGAAACCAGAGACCCGGACCCGTCAAAGCATGCAAATGAGGGCCGCTCTATCGCCTGACATGAATGCATACAAACCAGTATACATGACCATGCGTGCACATTAACCATGGACTACTTCTGGCTAGATTAACTCTTGTGCGATCATGGTGCTAGTGAAGCTTGTATCAGGTCCACTCTGATTTAGCCACCCACACTAGTAGCAAGTATTATCTTCACTGGGGGCAGGGATAACTGCAGTTGGATCACAGGACGGATACTCCGATGTCGTCAATCCTTTTTCTGCACCTTGTCCTCACCCACTTACTGAGGTGTGGTGAGCCCATACATGGGATCATTTTCAAGTCCACCCAGAGTTTTGTTTGGGGATCTCAGGGGGTGTCGGCCGTTGGGCGGTTCAATAGCCAATTGAGTCATCTTTCTAAGATTCCTTTTGAGTCTCTCTCCCCCGAGTCTCCCGGGGAGACCCACGTGACCAGTTTTGGCAGTGAGCAACAAGTACAAGTACAAGTGTGTGTGTGTATGGGCGGGGGGATGGAGTTCTGCGCATACGGTACATCAATGCAAGTTGATATCACAATGATGTCAGCATTTCTAGTATTCGCGAATGTCTCGTCTACATCTGCAGCTTATTGAATGACATCATCGTACATAAGACATAGTAGCAAGCTAGTGGCCAGTGTTTGCCGATGTCACACTTCCTACAACACACCTCGAACGATGGCATACTGGAATACCCCGTACAATCGTCGCAGGCAGAATCTGACCTCATGAATCTATTCTAAGTGTCTGTGATCATGAATCTAGCCACTCCCTGCCGCGGTGACTCTAGCATGTCTCTAGCACTGCCACTGTGGTCAACAAACACTTGGGTATGCTGTGAAGTCGTCAAGTCGGTGATGTCATATTCAAGGGGTCGAATTTCAAAGGTCGCAACTGTATTCGGACCCACTGCCGCTGTGTGCTTACATGTACTAGTATGTGTTACCAGTGTGTGTGTGTGTGTGTGTGTGTGTGTGTGTGTGTGTGTGTGTGTGTGTGTGTGTGTGTGTATGTGTGTGTGTGTGTGTGTGTGTGATTTTTGTGTTTTTTTCATGCCATTCAACGAAATGCAGTCGATAGTCAGTACTAGAAGGTTGATAAAGGCACATTTGTCCGGGTGTTCGCCCCGTACGTTGTATTTCGCATAGCAAGACAGTTATTTTGAAAATGAAAAAATGGGTTACGGGGTGACTGTTCCCCCCCCCCCCTACTATTTTCCCTGCCCCCCCCCCCCCCTCCTACTATTTTGACCTGGCTGCAATTGTACAACCCTGCACACCCATGCTTGAAAGCAGGGAGTAGCAAAATACCGGTATTTTACTACTCCCTGCTTGTATGAATGCCAGTTTGCAAATAGCTCTAGACTGACCAGAGCATTGTACATCACCGTGTCGCTGGTTGGTTGCTGGCAACAGTATTACAGTATGTGTGCATATAACTGGGAATTTCCCTACAATTATGCCATTTGTAATGGAGGTGAAATAAAATGGGATCCGTATAGAAAATGTTTGTGTAACAGTTATGTGGCATTGTGGCAACCTCACCTGGGGACGCTGGAAACAAGAGCTCTCTCGTCCTCGTCCACGTTATCCATTGTAAAATCGCATCCGATACTTTGGAAATGTCAATTGTAGCGCTGCATGAACGGTAAATTCTTATCCATTAACATTAATTTTGTTTGCGAAATTGTCGCTCGCGCCCTAGCGCTCACATGCACAGAGCCGGGTAACCACGACCGCGTTCTATTATTCCGGCTGGCATCGATTGCTCTCACCATGAACACTTGCCGGTACAGGTCTGAACTACCACAGCCCGCACACAGGTAGCACACAGAAACTTGGTCCTGAGCACTGCTGTCTTGGACCCAAAGGGCCAAACGCTGACAGCGACTTTCAGAAACAGAAACAGAAAAAAGTCGCCACTGCACGTGTCTACAGACAGTAGATCTACAGCGTAGTATGATCTTCTGCTAGCAGGTAGGGACGAGCGATGCGGGGCACCATGGTAACGAGGATCTGCCATCTCACAGCTTCACTGCATGCACTACATCATGCATAGTTCATACACAATGCGTCATGTAGTCTTCAGTAATCAGTAGTATGACTATGATAATGTCAATGAAGCTGCCCCCCCCCCCCCTACCCCATAAGCATGATAACCCACGCCCTGGGCAGGGTCTGGGTCCGCAAATCGAAGTGCTGATGTCATAATTGTGTGAAATCCGGCCCAATAATTGCCACACATTATTGTGACATAAACATATTCAATGAAACAAATGCCGTGCCCGGGCATAACTAACTTAGTTTCGGCTACTGCATCAATACACCGCATAGAGTCTACGCATGATACGAGCCGCATATCGCATGATACTGGCTCGCCAATTTCGGCCAACCTCACCAACTACTTGACTATGTATCATAGCAGGACACCCATACCTAAAGCATACTTGCACAATGACAATTGTCCCCGGTATAAATTGTACATGTATACAAAACAGGACTGTCCTGCTGGGGTCGGGATCATGGATAATGCATGTACAGTGTGTATCGGTTATAGTGTGGTCGTATACAAGAATATACTGCTTACAAGAATGAACACTCATTTTTTCATAACCATAACACATATTTTATGTGTATATTTATTCTTACAAGCAGTATTATCGCATAGTGGAATATATCGGCCCTAAGAATGGATTTTGTGTAGCAAAATATGCCAGATTAGTGCAAAGTGTATCGCCTGTAATAACATCTGTGCTCTGTGCATACTCAATACAATAATACTCAACACAAAAAGAGAGTTATGTCCATGGGAGCATTTGAGAATCACTTTTTCTGTCCAGTCGGACTCTTTCTTCCGACTTCTCTCGTATCCGCTGCTCCGCAGTCGCCTAGCACGACCGCGAGTCTGATTGATCCGTGTGTATCATGTGAAGAGTCTACGTCACGTGTCCACATGCCAAGCGTGCGCGCATATGATGTGTCACACGTGATTTATCGTGTGTAAGAAATATCGGCAATAAGAATCAAATGTCGTTTTTCAAACACCCACGCTATAACCGATACCTACTGTACATGTACATGTACATGTGCATGTATGGGCAGTGCTCAATCTGCGGACAGCATGCTGTACGGACAGTGCTCAATCTCTGGACAGCATGCTGTACGGACAGTGAGCAGATAACTGAAGTGCAACTACTAGGAGAATGCCTATAGTAGAACCTCTCGTATCAGGGTACCTCGCCGGGACCAAGGGCTGCCCGTACCTTACCGTCCTTAGAGTCCGACGGTCCGGAACTCAGAAAACCACTACAAAATGGATGTGACACGTCATTCTCTTCAATCGGACTCACTAAAGCAAGATTGTGGTTCCATCCACAGGCATGCACAACACTCAATAGGATCTGCATCTAAGGGCTAAGACCGTATTATGTAGAGGAATAGTTCAGCTAACTGCCATCAGAAAAGGAAGACCATGATTATGAAGCAGGTTTGATTGACGTGCCTGCAAGGTGTCCAGATATGGGAGGACAGGTTTGGGTGTGGATAAGAGTTTCCTACTGCACTAACGGTAAGTAAGTCCTATTAGCATTGTACATGTAATACTAGTAACGTCAGTATCACTGTGACCTCATAATGACATCACAGTCATATTACCATAGTTACCACAATATCAGTGAAAAGATAGATCTACTCATCTCTAGGGAGACTTCGACAAAGAAAACGAATTGATCATGTAAGTGCGACATGACATGACATTGTGCACTTGCTTAAATAGGCTCAACCATTGCAGGGTCATATGTCTCAACAGTTCATTTGTGTGCCAGGAGAATGCCGATTACGGCGATTAGCCTTCTCCTGACCTTAGCTCAGAGCCGCACGGTTGTGACAGGCATCTGGAGGGGAGAGCATTGATAGATGGCTCAGCGATCGCATCCAGACAACGCTGTGACAGTGGCATTCTTCAAATAATGGAAACCTAAAAGTTTGAGAGCTCCACTGGAGCGTTTTTTCTACGTGCAGCTACCGCGGCTGTACACACAGGCTGGCAGCTAAACAAGATCATACCAACCGAAGCCTACCTTGATAAACAGCCCTAGTCAGATTGAAATGTATAGCCGTTCAGAAATGGGACGGCATCGATGTTGGCTTGTATGTGAGTCTTGAGTGACTTGGGCCACACAATCAGGTCTCTAGTCCGTGATTTACTGGCATGAACGGCTCTCTCACAAGCATCCAGGTAGCTGGTGGAGCATTCCAGTTCCAGGAACTGACACACCTTGTGCATCACTTTCCTCGGCTGGTGCTTCACGTGTCGTGAGTGTATATCCACCAGGTGCGGAAACATGTCCCTGTTGTTGTGGAGCTTGGCGTTGAGCCTGACCAATGCAAAGTACTTCTCAGTCTGCACCTCCAGCTCCCTGGGATTGTCAAGAGGATTGTCCTGTTCCAAAAATATATAGAAAAGCCCGTTTTAGTTCGGCACTTGGTATGAAATGTCAATCGTCGCTTCAGAAACATGGCACAGTGTAAGAAGCATGCAACAATACTCGCATGCTCAAAACATACACAGGCAAGTCTCTGTGATTGCCTATTCTATCCGATTCAGCGCAACACACAGCGATGCTACGGCAGCGCTGCAGGCAGATGGGCCTCCTCTTGCTCGCTAACTCCTGCCCTAAACTGCCATTCTAGGCATTGGCAATTACGGTCAAACCTGGTAGTTATGGACACCCCGGCGAGGGACTGAGGCCACATGTAAAACACATTTGGCAGTGATGTGAACACACTCACCTTGGTAGTAGTGAAGCGCAGGTTCAGGCTGCGCAGGGCGAATGTAGCGATGTTGTCGAACGGATTCCGCACCACGTGAATGATGTACAAGGGTATGCCTATCTTCTTCATCATCTCCTGGAACACAGCCCGTCCCTCGGCTGTGGCCAGAAAGTGAGTCGTGTCGCCACCTTTCTTATCTCCTATGACCTGTGAACATAGAAAGAGGTGAACAACCGATTGGAAGCATTGAATGGCACACTGTACATGCAGCATGCGAACAAGAACTTTGATAGACGTGAAGAGAGAGTGCGCTCAGACAAATACTATGACACCAGAGAGACAATAACTTTGTTTTCATCATCATCATGTGACCGTCATCAGAAATCATCACCACCCTGAGAACTAGACTACCAAGGAAAATCGTTATGATGCCGTAAGGTGATATTTTAGAGCTGAAACGAAAACTGATGCGAGAATACTCTCTTATACTGTGATCCTCATGATCCCATAAACATTTTAAAAAAATATTAAAAATATATATATATACAGTTGCTGTCCACAGATTTGAGTATACTTACCTTGTGCAGTGGAACATCAAAATTACGACCACCTTTGAACAGGAAAAGTGGTTTGGTTTCTGAGGTGGTCTGCCGGATTTGTGAAAATGACCATCCTTCATGCGCACTTTGATATGGAGGAAAAGTCAGAGCCAGGCAAAGTGGTCGGATTGGTAAAGTGGACAAAAGCGAGGATTCACTGTAGTCCAGTTGTCAGCACGATGATAATTCTGATGCTGCCCACATGAAAGTGGTGTTATTGTCCCTCTAGTGTCATAGTATGACCGCATGCACTCCCATTGTATTTACAAGCAGACGCCCTAGCACAATGCGATGGTATGCACTCGTAAGACAGACAGATGGGTGGATAGGTGTGTGGACAGCCACATGAGTCAGTGAACAGATGGGTGGAGAGTTAGCCCCTTTAGGAGCCGCACATATTTGAAAGGGAATGTACCTATTGATAGATGCAGTGGAGAGGCATTGGATCAGGAGAGGCAGTGCACCCTGGGGTTCAACACATCATACGACGACCACCCCTTGGGGCCGGAGAAAGCGGTCTTTAGTGGCAGGTGGTCCGAAGTTAGAGGTTTGCACCGCACAACCATATATTGAATGTAAGACCATCCGTGCCTGGCGAAGTGGTCTGTAGTACCAGGCTGGTCACTAGTCATGGTGGTCTTTAGTTACAGGTTTTACTGTATTATCTTATCAAACTCCACAGAGCACCACACTTCATTCATTGTTACTGATAGTTACAACGAATGAAGTGTGGTGCTCTGTGACGTGTGAAACTCCACTTATCATACTCACGGCTATCGTCTGATTGAATCGACCTTGCCACTGGTCGTGTACATGATACGAGTACGTACTGCCCATATATAGCAGACCGGGGATTGTCGGGATAGGAACTTTTGGATCCCGACGATAGCCTTGCAGAGAGTCATAGCGCGACTTGGTGTACAGGCGTTCGAATATGGACTGCTTCGTCATGCTCCTGTCACGCGCATATCTCCATGGCAGATTGTACTCGTTCGAGATCAGCACGTGTGGGTGAGCATCCAGTAGCGACCCCATCAATGTGTGACTGCTGCGCGGATAGCCAATGAAGAAAACGAACTTCTTCACCTTGTCGACAATGGCCGGGCTCAGGGGAAGCTGCTTCAGCACCGAATCCAGAACCAGTTTCTTCAAGCCGGAGAGGCTGATGCCATGCATGTCGGCATCTCGCATGTGCAGGCCAGGAAAACTATTCTGCACGCCTGCTGCTGCATGCTGACTATCCTTGTTGCTCCGCTTGATGATGGCATGTTTATTGTGGGATTCCTTGCTTTTTCCTGCATCCAACACAAGTAATCATATTCATTTGTTTGCTCATACACTTTGTTTCAGCAGTAAATTCAACACTAATGGGCAAGTTGCCATGTAAACTACGAATTCTGGATCATTTTCCAACTACAAAATATCTTCATTTTAGTATATTGTCTAGTACACTCCATGCTGGGCAAAGTGATTATACTAGCTCCACAGCCAGACTTTCTAGTTTCCAAACATGCAATGATGCACAGTGCATGTCTACTCCGATACCGTGTAGAGGCCCATGGACCAGTCTTTCCTCATCGTATGATCCGGTGCGGTTTTGCAAATTAAACACATCCACGTCCTTGGTTCAAGATACGCGTACCATGTGCACGCACTCGGGAGTGCACACTGCTCACAGTAATACAGCAAGGCATACCGGCCTGCAGTGCTCCAGTCCCATGCACTTGCGATCTTGTAATTCTGTAAATTAGCCCAGGTGTCCGTTGCAAAGCGGGAAGTGCAAGCAGTGGTTGCCATGAGCCTGCGTGGCTCTTCGTCGTCGGAGATTGCTCGGGTATTGAGTTTGTCGGCTCCAGGAGTCAGGCAGATTGTCCAGCAGGCTCATGAGTGGCGAACTGTTGCTGTCAAGCCCAGGAGTGGTGATCCACGTAAGAGCGATGAGATGTACGACGAGAGGCTTCTAAAGTGCTCAGTCTCACTGATCGCTTCAAACCTGCCACAGGATTGCAGAAGAAGCTAGCAGGGGGAGGCTGGTGCAAGTCTCTCAGGTCGTACTGTGCGCAGGAGGCTGCAAGTAGCTGGCCTGGATGACACAGTGACGGTGAAAAAGCTATTTATTAGCAAAAAAATCGCAAGAAGAGGTTGCAGTTTGCAAAGGTTCACAAATCATGGACACAACGGAGCGATGGCCACAGGTGTTATGGACTGATGAGTCCAAATTCAATATGCAGGGCAGTGACGGTGTTCGGTAGGTACGTCAGGAGGGGCAAAGGAGAGTGGGTGAACCCCAAATGTCACCGTTAAGCATGGTGGAGGTGGAATTATGGTGTGCGGTGCTCTGGCGGCGCGTGGTGTTGGACAGCTCTACACGGTCGTGGGCAAGATGGAACACACCCAGTACCATGGCATCTTACACAACTGCATAGTGCCAAGCATGTGCGGGCTGCTTGGCGAAGGCCATTGTGTATTGCAATAAGACAATGACACAACGCATACCGCGCCGCATGCCACGAAGTGGTGGCTCCATGACTAGCCGTTCTGCACAATGGGGTGGCCAGCTCCAAAGTCCTGACCTGAGCCTCATTGAAAATCTCTAGGTGATTCTCAGTGAACAGGCATCGTGATCACTCCAATCACGGCGGTCGGAATGAGACTGAGCTATGACTGGAGTACAGGAGTGCATTGAGTAAGATCACACCCGAAATCGGAACTATGCATGAAGAGGGTGAATGCAATGCCGAAGAGAACGGCTGACGTGAGTAAGAACAAGGAATGTGCCATTGATTAATCAATTCCCCTAGCACTCGATGTTGATACAGTTTTCATAGATTTTTCTCGCACATAGACCCCGCCCTGGCTTAGCTTTTAGTGTACCCGGACATAAGTTTACGCTGTGCGGCACTAGGTTGACCAGGGTAGGGTGTTACGATTTGCTTCTCAGTTTTACGCTTTCTTTCTCACTTCCTTGTTTTTAAAACTGGCCTGCTTCTATTTCGATCATTCTCTGGGTGAAACACTGCTCTATGCACATGATCTTTTTCATTTTTCATTTCAATTTCCATGGTCGGCATAAAGCTTTCAACCACTACAGCAAATCAACATGACTGCAGAGACGTGCCGCTAAGATACACTTACTTCTACCATAGTGCTACGAAGGCATAGCATCACAAATTTCACATTCGAGTTCATGTGCACTTTTCAGTTTGTGAACTGGAATGCGAACTTTCGCATTTTTCGTTCCGAAAAGCAATCGGACCGCAAACCGTCGATTCGTGTCATGCAGGCCAGTCTTAAGTTCACTAGGCCGTGCTGCCTGTACAAATGTACGGCCTTTCAACGCTCTGCAAGCACGACTTCTGTTTGCTTATCCTCTCCGACACGTGAAAGTCATCACTGATTTTGACCTTCATTTGGGGCAAACTTTAAAGTTGCAGACATGTGGTATGCACTGAAGTATATGCATGGTGATCATGCCAACGAGGACCCACTGCTAGTCAGACTCACCTGGATCATGCACTGGGATTATACTGAGACTTTACACACTCTGCAACAAACCGAATACGAGACCAGTGCCACTCAGAGCAGACGATGAATGAAGAGGCAAGCACTCGGGGTTTTTTTAATGAGTCTTTCTGAGTCTTTCTACTGAGATCTTATGATCCCTCACACCCAGACAGCGAATGACCAAAATGCTATGCCACTGGTGCTCATCTTGTGCTGGTATGAAAGTGCGAAAGGTCTCTACTCTGTGGAGTTAGGCTCACGGGAGTGCGAGGAAAGTCTCAGAAGCAACCAGTACAGACTACGGATGCATAGCAGGGCGTATCATTTGGGTTAAAGCCATGGCCGTATATTCGATTACAAAGCCTGTCTCATTAATTTTATAAAGCGGCCATGCATGGCTTTATACCTGAGATAGCATTTGAAATACAGTGAAACCTGTCTAAGCTGAGCGCTCATAGGACCTCTAAGCTGAGCGCTCATAGGACCTCTAAGCTGAGCGCTCATAGGACCTCTAAGCTGAGCGCTCATAGGACCTCTAAGCTGAGCGCTCATAGGACCTCTAAGCTGAGCGCTCATAGGACCTCTAAGCTGATCGCCCATAGGACCTTCAAAATGTGGTCGCTGTGTACAGGTGATCTCCTTATCCAGGGACCCTTGGTCCCGGTTGTAGTGGTCCTCTAGAACAGATGGTCGCCTTATCAGAGTGGTCGCCTTGACAGGTTTTACTGTATGTTCTGTAAACTAAAGCAATAAGTCAGACATACAGTATACATACTCACTCTTATCTGCATAAGGGGAGTTGTTCGCAGGGGCCGATTTCAGCATAGAGGCTCTCCGGCTTGATCCCACATTCCGATTCTCGTTAGGCGGACTATCGGGGCTCTCGTTAGGCGGACTATCGACGCCCTCGCGTCCATCACCGTCTACTTCGACTGCCGGTATTACTGGAGCATCAACCTGCCACTGGCGATGTTCTGACGTTTGCTCATCAATCGTCGCCGAATCCAGGACGATAGCCACCACAATGAAAATCACTACAAGTGACACAACCAACGCTAATCGAAGAATTTTTCCCATGCCTATTCAAGAATCGCCGTGCAGCTAGGTATGTCGGACGTCGCACGGTGCGCGTGACGCGCTGCTGATCAGTTTCTTGAGGTTTTCGTCACGACATGTGCCGTGGGACAGCCAAGCGCGAGTGCAGGCAGTTGTTGGGTCGTGCGGTCGATGAGCAGGTGTAACTAACGTTATGCTACCGCGTACCGCCTTCGGAATCAAGGGCGCTTCCGGCACGGCGCTACCGACTAACATCAACGGGGTACACTGCAGCAGGTGGCGGCAGGTGGAGGGCACTAGAAAGTTGAAACGGAGTAGACTGACGGAGTGAGTACAGTATTTAAACAGCCTGCGACAACCAAGGCTGGCAGGATATTCGGATCTAGGAGTGACCTGGCCAGCATGCACGCGGGTAGATCCCGTGCCGTGGGCTTGGCAGATATAGACAACACTTGTACTATTGTACTAATAAGCTGCGAAACGACCACCGGTAGTTGGTTTGCTACATTCGCAGCGTGAGTCTCTCTGCTGTCGCGCCGGAAACAGTGGCAAAATAATTCCGAGTCTTTAGTTTATATCCAGTCGTTCTAACCTACCGTAGTCTACCTATGTAGATCTACGTAGGTCTACAAACCAAAACAGGTCCTAGATACGGCCTTTACACAAAAATACTGAGTCTGTAGAGAGTAGCAAGACTCAATGCATAACCCCGAACCTAGCCCTACGCGCTACTACTGCATGCCTACTGGGCTCTAGTCCGTGGTAGATCTACTAGTGTGGTGCACTTGTTGGCGCGGGAAGCATTGTAGTTTGGCTACTGCAGGCATAATCATGATCATGATAATGCCATGCCGTGCCGAAGGCGTTTTGAAGTTTTTCCTGCCTTGCAGAGCCTAGCCTAGCCGGCCGTTGGCGTTGCGCTCATATCATGTCGCGACGTGACCTCAGTACCGCCGCGTGGTCGTACATGTAGTCCGTACAGGTATACATAACACACTATCATGTACGTTCAACACTGTCACTGTACCAACATGGACTGCAACCAACACAAGTCACAACAGCACTTTCACCCAACACGGCATCAGAATCAGGTTATGTAAAATCATGCACCGGCGTGCACTAAGTTATAGTAAGTAGTCAGTAATCATCATTCACAACAATACAAGGAGGAATTTTTTTATCGCCTGCATGATGATTGCATTGAGTTGCGACAAATCTGTGAACCTCCGTTGTGCCTTTTGTGCGACAACAATACAATCATGTGCCAGTTACATACAATCAAGAGTACATACCCCCAGTGTTATTTTACTCTTGATACAATTACATGTACTTCGAAGTACATGTATGTAGTCATTCGCCACCACTTTACTTAGGCACAGGTGACAAGCATGGTTAGGCACCAGAGGATAATAAATTTCACGGTTCGCGTGAGACTCGGCTGGAAGCCGAGTTTTCCGCATCCGCCGTGGGAACGCCACCACCCTCTAGGATCAAGGCGCAGATGCAGCGCCTAAACGGTGGGAGGTGAGTAGATCAGACCCACCACCAAGTCAAGTGGTCAAAGACCGAAATCCCATTAGCTGCATCCATGTTACCCTCGTGCCAGGCCACGAGTTCCCAATTAACTGTGGGTTGCAGCACGGCTGGAAACATTCCTTCCGCTTCCAAGCAGGACTTGAACCAGAGGATAATGCCAGCATAATAACTAACTACTGTCACTGTACATGACAAAGCAGAGAGGTTCCAGGCTGCCCAAGAGAGTGCTCAATAGTCAATACCTACATGTACATGTATACTAGCATAATACTTTTAAATACAGTCATGTACTAGTCTGTAGCATAATAAGTACATGTAGCATAGTGAGTTCCATGGTTACGTTAGCAGAGGACTCAGCTTCCTTGACTCAGTTTACATTTTTACACGTAACCAGGGGAACGTACACGTAGTTGGGCTGCTGGTCCTGGAGGCCACCTGTACTACTACGAGACTAATTATGTACATGATACAGCTGCAGCTACAGGTCATTATCATGAAACTACATGTAACTTAAACGTTACTTGATCACCACTTGTAAGCAAGTTACAATGTACATGTACATGTACATGTAGTTGTATGCGTAAGGGAAGTGGGTTTTTCCCACTTACATGTACATGTACATGACATTGTATTCTGTGTCCAGCTTCAGGTAGACATGGTCCGCTTGAGGCGTGGCGCAGGCTGATGTCATGTACATTGTAGCTCAAACCTCTTTGGAGGTGAAAATTGTTCAGAAAAGGTGATGTTTCCTCTGGCATATAAAGTTGTTCGTCCAGCGGCAGCCTAGCATGCATTTACCCATACAGCATTACAGCGTTACAGGGATACAGTATTGTGCATCTTGTTGTTCATGTCGTTTTCTTTCGACGCGTTTGCTGTGCAGTGAAGCCGAGACCCTAGGTCGGCAGAGCACATCAGACCCCGTCACCACGTCCACGATTCATGCCTGCGATGCTGCACCGCTGCTTTGCATGTCATGATTGGAAGCTGTGGCCTTGCCCTTAGTAAAAAAAACAAAACAAAAAACAATGTACATTGGACTCATCGTGTTCTCTTTCCAATCTATTATTATTATTAGAGTGTTAGTGAATGTAGGCAACACGCAACTTCCCCGAACTTCGAGGCCCCGATGTATAGCACCTGAAATGCATGTTGCATTGATCATGTTGCCTGTGTTGTAAATGACGATACATGTAATACAATCATCATGATCATGTCCAATGTACTACATGTACTACTACTGAGTAGTGTTGACTTTTCTTGAGAGTGTTGACTTCTGTCTTCATGAGAATAGACTGCGATCTGCGGCTCCGTCCTTTTGCTTCTGGTGTTCTGCCCCCAGGGTCTAGGGTCTAGGATCCTAGGCGAAAATTCGGAAGAATTGAAGAATTTTGTGTGGCCAAGTACTGACTGAGTTCTTGTATGTGTATGTATGTGTGTGCTGTTAATTGTTATTGCCAAGTTATGACAAGTCTAAAAATACTTATTAAAAAATAGAGTAACGTTACGCTTCAATTCGTTGTGAGAAGAGCCACTTGTGTGTAGACCATGGCACCTGTCATTTTCACGAATGTGATTTGCTGGCTAGCTTCCCATACGGGCCATAGCCTAGGCCATGCACAATCAGTGCCAGCACCATGGAGACACAAGTGGCAACAATGCAGAGGAATCAGCATGCAAGCGTACTACTTGATCCGGTCATAGTCAAACATTGCCTGCATACTAGTAATGATCATGACATCAGAGGCAGGGCATAGATTAACGGTCGGACATCGGACATTTTCCGGCCATTTTCGGCCACTGACCGGACGTTTTCAATTTCACCGGACATAGTGTCCGGTCAAAAAGGAAAAAAAAGAGCAGCGGCCTTTCGACCTTTTTAATTTTTATGCGGAGTTGGGCTTTCTTCGGAGCTTAGGCCAAATGCGACTTGCATATCGTACAACTAACACATCTACACCGTAGCCTCGATCCCTCAGCCTCAGGCGTAGACTTCACGATAAATCCGCCTGTAGCAACGCGGTTGCTACAGTCAATTCACACTTTCGACCTTTGCCTTTGGTACATGCATGGTGCATGGTGTCGACTTCGCACCTGAGCTGAATCTATGGGTTGAACTGCGTTCGCTCTTCAAGAGGAAGATGTCATCTTTTATTTTTCACTCTTTCACTGACCAGGAATGCAGGTAGTCTTTTAGAATGTCTTCTGGAAAGCGAAAGGGAGATTCAGAGGACTTGCCGAAATGCCCTCGAATTCGGTCCAATTGCGAAGGCACTGTGCGAGATGGACGATGGTGCTGCCGCTATTGCATGACGCAAATTCGAACTGACTTACCTTCTCTGCAAGGAGCATATCGCGTTCGCAAAATTCTTGACTGCAACGCTTTCTTGTACATACATTTGTCGTCAGTAAATAGTTCAGTTTCTAATACAAATAAATTGGCGAATTGTACATAGTATTTAAATGTGTGAGATACGTCCACATAATGAGTCATTGACTCATTGTGAATATACTTCAGTACTACTAAAAAAAGAAACACCCTGAAAATGTGTTGTGGAAAATGTCCGGGCATGTCCGGACAGATTTCAAAACGGAAGGACATTTGTCCGAGCTAAATGAAATCCTTAAGCTATGCCCTGAGAGGGATCACCGTTGCGCAATTGCAGCACGCAAGGTTGCACAATAAAATGTCGGCCCAGAGTATCCGACCACCAAGACGAGACAATCACAGCCCCTATTGCTTGCAGCAGTACATGTATTGACTGCATGTATTGACATTAAGTTGAGTCGGTCATCAATAACGAGTTACGTTATTGGCACACAGTCTATTGCATGGCTGTTTTCTTGATCCGGAAAGACCTCTGCAATGACTGCAGCATTCGACCACGGCCCGGCCTAGCATGCACATCCGCACCAGTTATGCATTACACTGCACTCTCTGGTCTAGTACTTCACCAATGCCATGTAACGTGTTACCTGAGCACACCCCTGCCCAACAACGTAAAGTCGTTACCACAGTCTACAGCCTAACGTTAGTTGATCTAGACTACATGTACGTGTCACTGTCAGGGTTACTGCAATGTCATGTCATGTAGTTGAAGAGTATTAAAAGTGGTTAAACACTAGTAACACTAGTATCCTCCAGAAAAGTACAATAGACGCCAAACAAGATCACGATCTAGTGCACGCAAGAGTTAGCTTACTCTATCCACTTAGCATGCTTGTACAAATTAATATGCTCTTGCCAGTATCTGGAAGTTCTAACTCAAAAGAAGAATGGCCCTCACCCTGCTCAACCTTGGGTTGAACTTCAGTCTTCAGACAAGATTAGGCAAGAGCGGCCAAGTGGGGCCAAACAAAAACATCCTGCCAGAGCCGCGTAGTGTAGAGACACAGAATTTAATGTAGAGTGGATCCACTTTCAAAATTACTTCATCTCCCTTGGAATCCGGTGGCCTCCAGCGAGAACTGCAGGTATGGTCTGAACAGTGTCAACGTTATAAAGACAGTGCACGCAATTGTTAGATTGACAGCATGAAACAAGGTGGAGGACACTGTGTTCGGAAACAGTGACCTTACTACAACCTTCCGCGGTTGGCAGAGCCCCGGTCCCTGCGGACCATTTGAACCATAATTATGGGTATCGCACCCGGTTCTGACCCTCATTATGCTAGGGGGTTAGGAGACTACTCCTGATGTCGTCTTGTTTTCTTCGCTCTTTTCTTTAACTTGTATAAAGACTTCAGAAAAAGAAAAAGAAGTCTTTATACAAGTTAAAGAAAAGAGCGAAGAAAACAAGACGACATCAGGAGTAGTCTCCTAACCCCCTAGCATAATGAGGGTCAGAACCGGGTGCGATACCCATAATTATGGTTCAAATGGTCCGCAGGGACCGGGGCTCTGCCAACCGCGGAAGGTTGTAGTAAGGTCACTGTTTCCGAACACAGTGTCCTCCACCTTGTTTCATGCTGTCAATCTAACAATTGCGTGAACTATAACAAGGTTTATCTAATACTGGTTTTTAACCAGTGTTAGGTTATATCAAAGACAGTGTAGTAGAAGGCAGAGAGTCACACTAGGTTACTGTATACAGTGGGTGAGAGAGTACTGTACTGACTGTAGTAAACACCTGCTACAGTCCTCCCTGTGCTTTTACTCTCTTTTTTACTCCCTGTACTGCCATGAACAGTTGCCTGCAGACAGTGCAGAGTGCAGATGGTCACGTGTACGAGTCTGACCAAAGAAGACCAAAAGCAAGGGATGCACTGTCATTTACATGGGTACGATAATAGTCACTCATGATGAGAGTTGGAAGCCAGTAGAACCCACCCTGTAAGTTACCAGCACTTTCTGAAACCGAGCAAAGGTACTAGGCGCAGCATGACTTGAGCACAATCCTAATTGTCATAATCATTAACGTTATCATTAGCAAAGCAATTGAGTAAAAAATGTGTCCAGCACACCAAAAAAAACTGAAAATAAGATTAGTGCATGTGTTGTGAATGCAGCACATGCTCAGCTAATACCGGCAATTTCCACTCACCGGTGGTAGTCAGAACAAAGTGGAGCAAGGCGAATAATAGCTATGGACTAACCTGCAGTGGAAATGCGAATGTGGGAAAATATGAGAATACGTAATGGCAAGGCGAGAACAGATGCAACAGACACAAAGACTACCCTACCGCTGACAATGTGCGATAAGGCTAACGTTATTCCAACACAGACAGACAGAGCAATGACACAAGCAGCTACTACCTACTGGTAGAACGGAGACTCCCTCGATTTAGGCTAAGGCCTGTGGAGAATCCATAAATACAAATACAAATAGAATCTAGTAATAGCATAGCATGCATACAGTAAGACATCCTGGTCTTGTCGCATTGCTAGCACAGAAGATTAGGCAACAAAACTTGAACATCACTAGCCAAAGCTATCGAGCTATATGTTTGAGCAAAACATTATGTGTCCAGCACACCAGCAAAATGAAAAGTCTGCACTGCGAGAAAATTACCTCCTCCGGCAAGAAGCAGCAGCACTTTGCTCCATCCTGTGTACTGTGGAGAGCTCGGTGCATAGGTAAACATAGATATAGAATAAAATGGTGTAAGTAACAATAAATTTAAGGGAGGTGCAACTGCTAGGGAAACACACAACACTGACACGGTGAAGTCCTCCAGCTCACACTGTCAGGCTCTGTATCGACGGCTGGCATATGACCTGGAGAATGTCCGGGGTGGCAGGTCCATCTGCAAACAGAACGTGCAATCCAAACAAACTTCCCCTTACACCCAAGAGAGATACTAGTACAGTATGCGGTGGCCACAATACCCAGTACATAATGAGAGCCACGAACAAGACCTCCTTGCACGCATATAGCATGGTGCGCAAGCCACACAGAAACCAGAAGTGAGAAACTGGAAGCAACAATCATTAGCTATCAAGAGAACAGAAGTCAATGGAAATGAGTCCACACACATGCACATGTAGATATGCGTGTGCACGCACGCACACACATACACATACACACACACACACACACACACACACACACACACACACACACACACACACACACACACACTCACACCACGTGCAGGTTACTCACCCAGCCCAAAGTAGGGAGATCCGCCGGGGTGGAACTCCTCTAATGCCGCTTCAATACAGTGCTTGGCGGCAAACAGAGCTGAACACGTCATAACCTGCGGTGGTTCACCCACAGCTACACACAGACAGAGGCCAACAAACAAAGGTAGGCATGTGCTCCAAAACAATTGTACTACGTCAAGAAGGCGTCACAAAGAGAACATATTGCAAGAAACTGACAGCACTTTTACCTGAAATTATACCTTCCAGGACAGTACATACATGTACATGTATGTACTGATAAGCTTCTGAATTACTCTTGGTATTTCCAAGCTTATCCTGAGTGATTCTTCAACGTCCCATTATCTCTCTCTCTCTCTCTCTCTCTCTCTCTCTCTCTCTCTCTCTCTCTCTCTCTCTCTCTCTCTCTCTCTCTCTCTCTCTCTCTCTCTCTCTCTCTCTCTCTCTCTCTCTCTCTCTCTCTCTCTCTCTCTCTTCCCAGCTAAACCCACCTTTAGACTTGAGTGCAAACAGTGGATTGGGCGAGTCCTTGAGCAGTGCAACACGCATGTCCTGTGGAATATCCAGAGCCATTGGTGGTTTGTATTCCTGGTTACAGAACAACAACACAGATACTCATGTAACTGCTGCACAGCTTGCAAGCCCCCCCCCCCCCCCCCACACACACACAAATATGCATGCCTGCCCACCTGCGCATTGTTTTTGCGGCTTATAATATTATTGATTGGTAGGTCAGTTGGGTTCTCTCCACTCCTGCACCAACGTTGACGACACAGCTTGCACATCAATACCTACATTGCTGCTCTGAAACTGCTGATTTCTGTAGTAAATGCACCTACAACGCATGAACGAGTACCCTGATTTACACAGAGTACGATTATTTTTTTAAAAGAACGAGCGAGCAGTCGAATATTCGGTTGAATTCATTCACCCCTAGAATCTACCAAGTTTGTCTGTTGCTACTGGTCGATCCCCATGGCTGATGAGTATGTCTTCCAAACATGTCTGGAAGTTGTAGCAACTGTAGGGAAAGTGCTCAGTGCGTGGAGCACAGAGCTATTCAGGCATATAAAGAGAAGAGGTCCAAAGGATTGCGTTGTAACTTATAAAAGGTTTACGTTACAACACAACACGGAATAGGAGCCGAGCTCATCCTATCTATCCAGGTCAGTTCAGTAGGCAGATTCAGCCGATTAACGTTTGCAGATATCCAGCTTGCCCAGTTAGTCGTGAAGAATGGCTTTCATATAAATGGACAACATATCCTTCCAAAATCCTTGACAGAAAACACTTATGTTCAGTTGCACATTCACGATGTTCTTGTGTGGGTGTCGGATGGCGCCATTATAGCCGCACTTATTCCATACGGTACCGTGCAGGGCGCCATCCGCCACCGTAAACTTAAGGTACGGGGCAACGTTGTTACTGCAACCGGAGTCCGTTTTGCAACCTTCGCACTGGGGTCGAATAAAGCCGTGCCTTCATACGTGAAATCCAGAGACGGGAAAGGCACTTTCCGCGTACACTATAGTGGCCAAAAGCCCACGTGTCGGATTTGCAGCAAGCCAGAGCACCTCGCCAAGGACTGCCCTGAGGCACGCAGTGCCACTGCCAGTACCGGTAGTACACAGCAGTCACGTCATTCAACGTCACCTACATACACAGACACTGAACGCACACGTCGACTCCTATCTGATGTGGTCGCAAACCCAGCCCAGACAGCGCAGCAAAGTAAAGTCCAATCACAATGCCCAACATCCAAGTCTAAGCAGGCTGGTCTCCCAGCAGCTGACAAGACCGACTCCAGCTCCTCTGAGTCCGAAGAATTGCCTTTTCCTGCTGATGCTGAATCACTAGTCGACAATGAAAGCTTATCCCAGCCGGAGAACCAGCAGCTGTCAAACTTGCCCTGCGACTCCGACGGGGAGGCCAAGAAGGCAGACGGCGATGCTGGGAGGCCAAACCAACGCTGATCCTGATTCTGGCGGGTGGGAAGTCAACCGGTCCTAGCGTTAACGCCATAGCGTCACACCTGACCGAGACCAGAGTGCCACCACTACTGGATCCAAGCAACGGAAAAAAAACGGAAACGAAAATCTCCTGAGAGTGGCCAACATGTCCTGCAATAAGTTACTTCAGAAACTTACCGCTTTGATACACATTTACCTTTCATTTTTGCACCCATGTCTAGTTCTGCCATTCATCACAATACTGTTAAATGTTCACTCAGACTCCTTTGCACCAATGCATTTAGCTTAGGTAACAAGCTAGCCGAGTTCCAGCACACACTGCACCAGCATAATCCTGACATAGCAGTGTGACCGAAACAAAGTTTTGCATCTGAAACCGTTCCACCATCCGACTCCACATTCCCTGGCTACACCACCTTCCGGCTGGATCGAACAGCACGCGGTGGTGTAGTGACCGTATGGATCAGATCTACACTCCCAGCCATGTTAATTGATGAGTTATTTTCTCCACAGCACGAACTCATTTGGCTATCCATTCAATTGTCCCCAGGACAAAAGATAGTCTTGGGCGCTGCTTACAGGCCAGGTTCGACAGGGCCTAGTGACCTTACGCTCATTAACCACCTTGATGACATCCTTCCCTCTGCTCGTGTACTTGGTGCCAACCTCATACTCGCCGGTGATTTTAACGTGCATAACCGCAATTGGCTCCGTAGCTCGAAGACCACACCCGCGGGGGAAGCCCTCGAAGACACATGTACTGCCCACTTTCTTACGCAGCACGTCCAGTGTCCTACTCGCGGGGATAACACACTCGACCTGGTGATGTCCACGTTCAACTCTCCAGTGACCACACAGATAATGCTCCCTATTGGTCAATCCGACCACGCTATAATTCTTTCGGACTTCACAGGTGTTCTTCCCTCCCATGAACCGGCGGTGCAACGAACTGTCTGGCGCTATGAAAAGGCAGACTGGAACCGCTTCTGATCCTTTTTCCGCCAGGTTGATTTGTCAACCGTCATTACAGCCAACCCAGAAACTTCGTGTCAGCAGGTTACTGCCATAATCACGAAAGCCGTTTCCCGGTTCGTTCAGTCCAAGACACTGACAGTGAAGTCAACGGATCCGAAATGGTGAACACCTGAGTGTGCAGCCGCAATGAAGGAGAAGGACAAATGCTGGCGCACTTGGAGGAAACACCCTCACGACCTTGCACTGAAACATGAGTTTACCCGTTCTGTAAACAATGCTATCGCAGTCCTGACTAGATCCAGAGTTTCCAAAGAGAACAGCCTCAGACATAGCTTGTCGAATGGGTCCCTGAAGGAGAAGGATTGGTGGACGAAGCTAAAGTGCGCTTGTGGCGAGGGTCGGAACACTGACATTCCCCTGCTCGTTGATAGTGAAGGTTGCAAGAGGGCCACAAGCTATGAGAAATCGGAGGCTTTCGCACGTTTCTTTTCCAACATATGCAGTGTACAAGGCCACGACCTTACTACGATGGACTTACCGGACATGGAATTCGCTGGCGCACCTGCACTAACGACAGTCCACTTTCGTCCCGATGCAGTCCACCGGCTTTTAGCTCGTCTGGATGCCTCAAAGGCGACTGGACCCGACGGTATTTCCACTCGTCTCTTGAAGGAATGCGCCAGAGAACTTGCCAAGCCACTATGTCAGCTCTTTGCTTCCAGCACGGAGTCCAGCCACATATGTGGAAGACTGCCAGCGTGGTTCCAATCCACAAGCGATCTTCACAATCCGTCTTGAGGAATTATCGCCCAGTTTCACTGCTGAGCATAATCTCTAAGATCATGGAGAGCGTTATCAATCGTCAACTCATGAATCACCTTGCGCGTTACAAGCTCCTGACACCCCCCCCCCCCCCCCAGTTCGGGTTTCGTCGCGGCCTCGGGACCTCAGATGCGCTACAGGCTCTACACCATGCCTGGATCACAGCCATCGGCTGAGGCGGTGCAGCACGTATTTTAGCTGTGGATATTGCCGGAGCATTCGACCGAGTGTCCCATGCTGGCCTCCTCCACAAAGTCCGCCATCTTGGCATTGGAGGCCCCCTGCATACCTGGCTCTCTTCCTACCTAGGCGGACGGTCCATTCAATGCTTGGTGGGCGGCCAAACCTCATCGCTGTACACCATATCAGCAGGAGTTCCCCAAGGGAGCATACTCGGCCCTACACTCTTCCTGATTTACATGAACGGCGCCTCAGAGGCCGTCTCACCCGGAGCCCACCTGGAGGCGTACGCCGACGATACTGTCTTGTATAGCCTGACAACCCTCAACACATCCCCCAGCCGACGCAGCATTGAACCTCCAGACTTCTGTTGATCGCTTGCATCAGTGGGGCCGCAGGCGGCGCATCTCCTTCGAACCGTCGAAGTCCCAAGCCACGACCGCCACTCTCAGCAGAACCCCCATCAATTTGCCTTGTCTTCGGCGGCACTCCTGTCCTTGAGGAGAAGGCTCTTTTTTTACTTGGAGTGACCTTTGACTCGAAGCTGTCATTAAGCACTCATATCCGGAAGGTTGCCGCTCGAGCCAAACAACGCCTGGGCTTCCTGCGCCGTGCAGCGCACATTCTCTCTCCAGCCGGCCGCACCACAGTATACAAGGCATTTGTTCGACCGGTTATGGAGTATGCCCCCCCCCCCCCTCATCTGGATAGGTGCTCCGCCCAGCTACCTGCAACGCCTGGATCATATCCAACGCTGTGCTCTACGAATCATCGGTCCAGGTGCACTATTACCTAGCCTGGCCATCCGCCGTACTGTTGCCTCGCTTGCCTGCCTATACAAGCTGCATTACCTGCCTGGCCCTCCGCAGCTGCTCTCTGTTTTGCCACCGCGCCATTTCCCAGCTCCAACACCAGCTGCTTGCATCTGTCCCGCTGGCATTGAAGCGCTCGTTCCCACACCGCAGTATTAGTGACTGGAACTCCCTCCCCGCCGCTCTTCTGTCCCAGCCTCCCCACAGCAAGGAAATGCAAGCATTCAAAACGAACGTTTATCGCCATCTGCAAAGCAAAAACTGGCTCTGGGCAGTCGACTCGCTGTGATGCTGCTCTCGTCTATCCCTATGCACCACAACTGGCTCGGACAATCGACTTGCCATGATCAGCCATGATGATGCTCCTCTCAGTCACAACCCTTGTAATTGTTAATAGTCTCACAGTTTCTCCCACACACTCGCTGGTGTTAACCCTTCCTTTCTTTTCACTTTGCTGACTCGTACAGCTCTATATTTTGTTTTTTGGTACGTGTTTTTTGGCCGTGATACCGAGACCTCAGGTCGGCAGAGCCATCAATGCCCCACCATCACTGCTGCGTCTCGGTGCAGCCCCTGCTCAATAGTTGTTACGTTCGTCCTAGTCTCAGTACCATGTCTTTCTTTATATTTTCGAGCTGGGCATGTGAACATAGTAAAAAAATAAATAATAAAAATCCATTTGGAGTGCTTCACTTCATCTATCCATCTATCCATCCATCTACTAGTATCTTTTTTAGCAGTTTGTGACGGGAATGGTCTTAGAGACTGCTGCCCCTATTCCCGTTGGCCTTCCAATCACATAATGACTTACACTCTTTCTGCAGGCTCTGTATGGTGATCCCCGAATTACTTATTATTATTCATGCATAATGGACAACTATTTCTCTACACACATCCTTATTCTACCTCCCACACCGTACTCTGAACACAGCAGGGAGTCGAATATGACTCCCTGCATTTATTCTGAAATATGAAGCTGGCCACGACGAGGGTTTCCCCTCAGTTCTTGGTTAGTCCAGAAGGAGTGAGTTCGATGTGTTGTGTCGACTGGAGCTGCTAGTAAATTAGTATGCTTACTGTTACACAGTTCATCTCCTAACTGTCTACTTGTTTGGTCATACTGGGTTATCGCGCTTCATAATACTACGAGCAGGGCTACAAAGAAATACTTGTGTGTTTAAAAGAGAACCAGAACTCTTCTTCAACCTTCCCCAGCACATTAGCATGGAACGCAGCAAGCAGCACGAGCATGCATGCATGCATACAGTGGTGGCTTACCCATGTGTTGTGTGTCAGATTACTACCAGTCTGCTCTTCATACAGGATCTCTTCGGACAGCCAGTAGCCAAGACCCATCACAACAGCACCTTCAACTTGTCCAACGTCAATCTCTGGGTTTACGCTGCACATGTGTTGCAACGGATGCAGAACAAAACGCTGTACATGTACATGTAGATGAAGGAATGGCAAAAGATGTGTAGTCACCACAGTATCGCTATGCTACCCTGTCCAACACTGACCTATTTCATGCCACACACGGGTGCGCACCCTCCCCCCCCCCCCCCCCCCCTCACACACACACACACACACACACACACACACACACACACACACACACTCTCTCTCTCTCTCTCTCTCCACAATATTACAAAGACGTAGTGCTTCAAAGCAGAGTGAGGCAGTATACGCTATACTCATACACAGCATCACATACTGTAAAAGCAGAAATTTTCGGTGGTGTAATATTTTCGGTATTCACCAAAATCGGCGGTTCGGTAGAGAGAAATTTTCGGTAAAACCCGTTTTCCAGGTAGATGTACTAGTACTAAATGTATACAGTACCGGTTGTACCGAAATTTTCGGTGCGTTTTATTTTCGGTAGAAATTGTCGACACCGAAGTTACCGAAAATAAAACACCACCGAAAATTTCTCCTTTTACAGTAACAACCAGAAACACCATCATGTCCACTGCCCTCTATAATCATCATGCAAGACATGCACAATGTCCGTGTGTGTGTGTGTGCGCGCGCGTGTGTGCGCGCGCGCGCGCGCGTGTGTGTGTTTGTGTCACGGGGGCCTCAGTGTGTGTGTGTGTGTGTGTGTGTGTGTGTGTGTGTGTGTGTGTGTGTGTGTGTGTGTGTGTGTGTGTGTGTGTGTGTGTGTGTGTGTGTGTGTGTGTGTGTGTGTGTGTGTGTGTGTGTGTGTGTGTGTGTGTGTGTGTGTGTGTGTGTGTGTGTGTGTTCTGTGGCCAACCTGTCGGAAGGCTACCTTCTTGCTGCCAAAGCATATGGAAGTTGGACTAGTTTCGGCTCCACAATCCAGTGTGTCGTTACTATAAAGCTTTCATGGCTGAGGTTGTTGGCATGTTTGTTGGCCCTAGGTTCCCAGTACTCAGTTGCTGAGGCTGGTTGGCAAACTAACTCAAATTTCACTTCAAGGTACCAGTGCATCTAGTGTCTGCTTCTATCAAAGCAGCGTGCAGTCTATACTGGATACCCCAGAAAGTGTAGGGTGTGCATAGGTAACTGTCTTGGCCGTCTTTTTCTGATGTACTCCGTGTGGTGTAGACCAGTTATGTGGATTAGACAGTTATCTGGTGCAAGTCTTGATCTGTTTCATTCAGAATCAGATCCGCTATCGTTGCTACAAGAGAAAATCTGTGAGTGCACATCCAGTGCACTTGCAGATTTGCGTGCTTCTCTTGCAATAGGTGTAAACATGGTACATGGTGTGTTCTGTAATAATCTGTACCTTCTGCCACAGTCGTAGAGTAGGTCAGCACGCACAACGTTCGTCTCTCCTGTCAGAATGTCTAGTTCAACCTCGGTGCACATCACACCATAGCAGTTGTATGCAAACGGGTTGGAGTTCGTATGGGTACCTTGATACCTACATGTCAGAATATACACATGTGCATACATACATGCACATGCACACACGCACATGCGGAGACACATCCACACATGCACGCGCACACACACACACACACACACACACACACACACACACACACACACACACACACACAAACACGCACACACACACACACACACACACACACACACACACACACACACACGCACACACACACACACACACACATGCATACATGCACATGTACAAACACAGAATAATATGCATATAAGCATGGTACACACATACACAGACACAAACAGAAACAGGTACAGATGGACACACAAGACGGACACACACACACACACACACACATTTCTGTACGGGTGCCATTCTCTGCCTGCACTGTAGGCTACACCTAAGCTGAAATCACATCTACTACACACAGTGAGTACTGAATGTGTGGCTAAGGATCAGGGGCGTAGGAGGGGTTTTGGAAGTGGTACGACCGAAGGTCGGTGCGGCCGAAGGCCGTGTTGGAGGGGGGTCCAGGGGACCTCCCCCGGGAAAATTTTGTAAAAAGGACACAAAATCCTGCGTTCTGGGAACTTCTGGCACACTTCTGGCGCAGTGTGCAGTCGAGTCGAGCACAGTACTCAGTACGACTGCAGATGCATAACAGATCTACGAGTACGAGTCTAGAAAAAAGGTCAAAGTCTGATGCGCATATATGCATCGATGGATCCTGATTTTTTTTATTACGGTTTTGCATGTTCCGGACGGACCACACTTTTCGAAAAGTGGTACGGCCATGGTCGTACCAGTCGTAGCGGGTGCTACGCCCCTGAGGATGGTGTGTTGATGTGAGTAATAGTGCGTACCGGTTATCCTAACGGTAGCTTTACCTGCCGAGTACTGAAAAAAATCACTTCATAGTGATCATGCCGACTCAAAAACATTAAAAACAATGTGCTTGCTCCACCAGTCACACTCATTACTAACCATCCACGGTTGCTCAAGTCAATGCCGCTACCGGAGCAGAAGCGCACACGCTCCAGCCATGTCGCCGTGCTTGGCATGTGTGCCGTGCTGGTGTCAATGCGTTCTTTCAGCCCGGTACAGGCCACCAAGGTTGCCTGCGGGGGGGGGGGGGGGGCAGCAGGTACAAATAGAACGCAAGACACAAGCATCACCAGGGCGGTCGAAACATAGCAGCTTGCATCATTCGCAGTCAACAAAGACAATAGGCAGCTCACTTGTGCTCCTAATAATACTACAGCACCAAAGAACAAGCGCTGCTGCACTGTGCATGCATGCATGGCATAGGCATGAGCTATACCAGCACAAACACATGTACATGGTATTATTTTATCATGGTATTAATACGTCGCCATCAAATGTAGTATGTATAGCTTTGTTGACTGGAAACTTGAAACTTCTTCCTCTGAACCGCATACATGTACATGTATTATTAACACGTTTAAACTCACATGTACTACAATAACAAGTACTAAAAGGGGAAAGATGGAACTGGTCAGAAATAACCTTCAGCACGCCTATTGGTGAAGATAGCTCAGCTTCATTTCAAGCATGAGGAGCAAAAATACTGGTAAATGTACTTGAAGACTGAAAGCATAGCTGTAGCACAACTGTGTGCATCACTTGTTTATCAGTTTAGAAGTGCTACAATGCGATCACAAACATAGACGTGAACGTGCACGAGAGAACTCAGCTCGCACACTTCAGTATCCGCATGCACTTTGCAATATCTCGCAAACATATTGATTATCGAGTCGACATTCCCACAAAGAAAACAGCAGCTATCAATTTCAGAGTACATATCACACAGCAGAATCCCACCCCCACGCTGAAGCAACACTTCCACTCCGGCACACAAGGGTTAGCGGGCTAAACTATACATCACGTAGAACTCGAAAAAGCTGGATGGAAATGACGACAACTGTGTGTTCATGATATTGAAACAAAGTCCTGGCCAGAGAAATTTGACTTCATGAATAAAGTAGCGCCAGGTGCTACCCGACCTTAGCACCACACACTAGTATACATTCCATCCGAACACAGCGCTGCTTTATTCATGAGGTCAAATTTCTCTGGCCAGAACTGTACATCATACAAGGATTACATTTGTTTCACGGTGACAGTATGTCGCAAGGCGGGAGGGTACACGGTATGGAAAACAGTGTTCCTGACTGCAACCATAAACCGGTTGGTAGATACTGTGTGTCCTCCGCCTTGTGATATGCTGTCATTGTAAAACATGTTATTAACTATCAAGCATATACATGTACCAATGGTTAGATTCCAGGTTAGCAGTGCAAACGGATACAAGTCTGGACTTACTTTTGATACCAACTCACTACTTATACTACCACCAGTCTCGGCAGCTACACACGCCATTGGTCAGAGTACACGGCATGCACATTACGCATTGAAGAAAACAAGGGTTTCCATAGCAACATACATAGGAACACACATCCGCATGGTCAAAAAATTGGCATGTTCCGGCGCATGCACGTTTACATGCACACATACACACATGTACGTATGCACACACGCATATATACAGACACACACAGACACACGTACGAACACACAGATACACGTACACACACATGCACACACGTGTGCAAGCGCGCACGCACACGCACACACACGCCACACAGATGTTAGCACAAAGCATAGAAAAGGCAAACATGAGTCTCAACAGCGTCCACTTACTTTACCAACAATTTCACTGCCAATACTGCCACCAGTACAGCTTGCTATTGTACGTACACGTCATACACAGACGTTACAGATACACAAGCGCATGCACAGACACACATACACAGACAGACAAACACACACACACACACACAATGTACATACACACAGACAGACAGACAGGCACATACAGACAGACAGGCACATACAGACAGACAGGCACATACAGACAGACAGACAGACAGACAGACAGACAGACAGACAGACAGACAGACAGACTGACAGACAGACAGCCACACAGACACACATACACGCATGCACGCAATGCATGAACAGAGGTGCCGCAGTGAGAATCACTCACAGACCACACATTGCTCCACCACAATTGATATAATGCTGAGTAGCCACACTAAAAAGTAGGGGTGAAACGGTTCCATGCTTTTCATGTTCAGGTACCCGAATGCCAGCATTGTTTCCCACGGTTCGGGTATCGGTTCCATGCACTCTTTTCTCCAGATCGACAAAATGCGTTCGCGACAATTATTTTTTAGAAAAAACATTTTTACGAGCAAGAATGAGACATCGGAGAGTCCAAGTGCGAAGAAGATAATGACCAGAGAACTCTTTGGAAGAGTGGGGATCGTAAGGTAAGACATTTAAAATCTTGAGTAGACTTGATGTGTACATGTACTTGTACAAGAACGAGATTCTTCGAGTTTCGGTTCGAAATTTGACGGAACGGGAACCCGATTCTTTTCAGCTGGCGGTTCCAAAACCAGTTCCTTACCAGAACCGTTTCACCCCTACTAAAAGCAAAATCTGTATATTGCCGGACACTTCGCAAGAGACAACCCCCCCCCCCCCCCCCTCATCTATCTGAATCCTAGTCAATAAACAGACCAAGCAAAGGATTGAACAATGGTGCAGCATATAGTCATATACTACATCTTACACCTTTTACCAGAGGGTCATGAAAAACGAGAGACAACATTACTGTCAGGAGAGGGTAACTGGACCAGTGCCTAGAAAGAAAGCCAGTCTTGTATCATGTTTCGTTTGACGATGGATTCAACTCGTGAAAGTCAGAGCTACGGAATCGCAATTGTTCGTCCTTCTGTTTGTGAAGCCAGTCTTATATGGATAAATGGATTGCTTTCCAATGTCGAGTGACCGGCAATGGCAGGTTTGGCCGTACCCGCCCGTACTGGACAAGACCCCACACTGCATCACAACAGGCCAGGTACTACTCACTGTTAGCCGCGTTGAGTGCCGTGGCCGCCTTGATGTGTATCATGCTGACCGGAATGCCCAGCGTGGCAGCGGCCACCTGTGCAGCCTTGGTGTTAATGCCCTGTCCCATCTCAATGCCGGCGTGGCTGATGGCTACAGTGCCGTCCGGACCGTACACGGCCACGTGAGCACTGAATGGTGCACCAAAGTAGTCCAGGCCAAACTTGGTCGGCACACGCGACATTGCGCGCTTCTTCCAGCGGTTCTCCTGCCATAATATACAGTTACACAATGTCATGCGAGCAATAAGATCACGCAAACATGCATGCTATTCAGTTATAAAAGCTTGGGCGAAGGCCTGAAGCTATCAGGACAAAAGACGAATAAGCACTGATATAGAATCGTATTCTATTATGTTAGCTGCAGAGCATAGCCCCCCCCCCCCCCCCCCGAGCCTTAGAACACATGCAATCTACACAGTATATATACAATGCTGGCAACTGAAATCCGACTCCTAAGCGGTGCGCTCACATCGCAAAGACCCAACACGGGATGGTAAAACTACCAAACAGAGGCCGCTAGAAAGTGAACCCACCGCTCAGGGGGTCGGATTTCAGTTGCCAGCACTGAATGTGTGCATTACAGTTACAGATGATCATACTTAAGTAGTCATAATTTTAGGGGTGAAACGGTTACCCTTTAAGGTAACAAACGGGTACCTAGCTTAACGGGCGGGTTATCGGGTACCCTTTATCCGCCATACTTTTTCCAAAAACGTTGCATTTGCTTGGGATTGTAAGCGCAACATGTCTTTTACAGGCATTCTGATAGGAGAGAGATTTTCGGGCAACAGTTACCACAATAGCCTTCCGGATTTCACGCCGGGAGAATATGCGAAATCATGCAAGTACACTACACCGCGACAAGCACAGCGTGCACACTCACTGCTAGGCACCGGCGGATTATGCCGGCATAATTATTGGCATAATGCGGTGGTTGGCATCCTTTCGGAGGTAGGAGCATAACTGCATGATTGTATCACATTTCTAGTATGTAGGCGACACAATTGTGTACAATGCACCTGATCAGTGCTGGTGGTCTGCATGGTAAAGGGATCGGAGGTCATGCAGATAGTGTTTTCAATGAAAAGCAGGGTAGAAATCATGGAATACATTTTGTGTGCTCGAACTCGTCTTCTGAAAGTTCTTTCTCACCCTGATACAGTACATGTGGCAGAGATGCGAGTGAATCAGCCTTTATCAGGTATCCCGGGGCGGACGAGATAGTGATGGGTAGACCGCAAAACTCCGCGTACATGTACACTAAGCTTGTTACGAAGTCATGACGTCTGGATCTTAGCAGCTATGACTGTGCAGGCTATGGGTATTGCTCTAATAACTAAACAAATTGGGGTATAGTTGATGTTTGGTAATCGGATGGAAGGAGAGCTGGAGCTACGGGAGAGATGAGCTGATTATGAGAATTCGCAGGGTTAGGGTGACATCAGTTGGACGAGTAGGACGATTACGAAGACAGTTGAACATGACAGTTTTCAAAAAAAAAAAAAAAAAAAAAATTTCACGGTTCGCGTGAGACTCGGCCAAAGGCCCAGTTTTCCGCATCCGCAGGAACGCCACCACCCTCTTGGATCAAGGCGCAGAAGCGGTGGGAGGTGAGTAGATCAGACCCACCACAAAGTGGTCAAAGACCGAAATCCCATTCACTGCATCCATGTTTCCCTCGTGCCAGGCCACGAGTTCCCAATTAACTGTGGGTCGCAGCACGGCTGGAAAAAATCCTTCCGCTTCCAAGCAGGACTTGAACCTGGTACCCTCTGTTTCTCAATCATGGTCTTAGACCATCCCACTATGCCTGCCTGCCAGTTTTCAAAGGTAAGGAAAAATCTTTCAAAGCAAAAGAAGTCAGCAAATGAATAGAAGAAGTAATGTTTTCTCTTTTCCGGGCTGATATCTAGTATGCATGGACACCTTGGTATGGGGATACTCATGTATTTTGTTGTACTTATGGCCACTTGCAAGTACGAAAAAGGCACAATTTTCCGAACTTTGAGGCTCCATAAGCACAACAAAGTGAATATGTATCCCAGCGTGCCAAAGCATAATATGAGGATTTTGCGAGCATAATGCGAGAATCCATGAAAGCATAATTCCATGATTTCGCGGGCATAATCCGCCGGTGCCTACTCACTGCGCTACATGCAAACAGTGAAAATTGTCGTAGCTACAATGGAAACTGTGATATGTAGCAGGATTGACCGAGGAAAAACACACTCAAAACTGTGAACTTAACTGCACAACTGTACAAGCAAGCTTAATACTGTACCCTACAATCCTACACGACTATCGGGTACTCGTTTGCTAACGGATCAGCAGCTAAACAGACGGGTACCCGGGTTACCCGGATCACCCCTTTCACCCCTCATAATTATGTCACTAAAACCAGAGATATGACTGTAGTACATAGATGTGCACTACCAGCACATCTAACTGTTCATGACATTGTACAACTGTCCCAACCGAACATGAGACACACGAGTGCCACACACCATACTGTATGCAGTACAAGAGGACTCGGTCGCAGGTAGCTCACCTTATTGAACACCTCAATGGCTTGCTGGCGAGAAGCAACTTCAGCCGACTGTGACAATTCTATATGTCGAGGACAAAAGGAATGAAAACCACACATGGACACACACACGCGTGCAAGCACATGCGTACATACACACACACACACACACACACACACACACACACACACGCACATGCGTACACACACACACACACACACACACACACACACACACGCACGCACGCACTCACCCACGCACACACACACACACACACACACACACACACACACACACGCACTCACCCACGCACACACACGCACACACACACACACACACACGCACACACACACACACACGCACATTGAATGCATGAATGTAGCTCGTTTGGCCTTCATGACTGTGAACACTAGCCGGGCATGCTGCATGTGCCAGTATGTGCTACTCAAGTCGGCGTACACAAGAAGCAAGAGTACGTCCACTGTCTGTACATGACGACAGAGCACTAACCGACACTGCCCATACACATACACCCCCTCACCCAACACACGCTGATAGTATGATCACACGCGCGTACAATCACCAGTGCCCCGACAGTACCTTCCCACAGCGTGTCCACGTTCCAATAGGTGAGCGGCTGTCCGGCAATGTCCTTCTCGCCCTTCTTGTAGAAGTTACGCGTCCTCACAAGGTCCGGCGACATGTTGAGAGTCTTGGCAACATGCTCCACCATACTCTCCATGAAGAACATAGCTGGAATGGAACCTAAACAATTCAACACACATACAACCCAGACAGGGGTCAATAGCATTCGCCCTTCTCAAACAACAGTGATCAGTGATGTTTAAAAAACAAATAAAGGGACGTGAGCGGAATAGAACACTCCATTGATACAATACATTGAAAAAATATGATGTAGGAGCCCACAGCATCAAAGGCACATGACAGTCATGATTGCAAACACACATGGCGAATAGAATCTAATAGTGCATATGCAGTGCACTGTAGCGTGATAAGCGTGATAACATAGTTATCAACAGGTACTTAGTAAGAAGAAGACCAAAGCAAACTCAGTGGATGACACACACGTCTACGGTTGGCTGTTACCTTTCCTCAACTATGCTGGATTGCATGATTCCTGCGAGGACATGTAGTCATAATACATAAGATGTATCTAACACTGAGCTGCTATGCAGTCCCAACTAATAAGACAACAGATGTACGCAGGTAGACAACAACTGAACACAGGTTGAACCGTGTGGATGATACACGCATGCATGCATGCATGTATGTACATGTACCTACCTGGTGCCCTGCAGTATGTGTTGCTGGCAGTGTTCGTCTTGACTTTCTTCGGTGTCACATTCCATGCTGCGATGTTGTAGGCTGACAGTACACACACACATAACACACACACACACACACACACACACACACACACATAAACACACACGTGTAAGTCTGCTCGTCTAGTATCACAGTGAAATCCAGCCGACTGACAACGTCAGCACACTGCACCAGTGCACAACGCAGTATCCGTAGTGCTTGGTCTGTACAGTGCCCAGTGCTGGCTCGTTCAAGGGGTTGGATTTCACAAAGCATGGCATTAACTGCATGCCTGTGTTCATCTGACTATTCGTCCACTCCCTCCACTCTCTCGGTCTTCAGGTCAAGCATGGGCCAATAGCAAGACAATAGTGTACATACCCCCCCCCCAAGAGTGTGTGCAGCTGCTCATAATTATAACCTCTATCCAGTGCTGCGACGGCAGAGTTTCACGTCACATGACATGAATCAATAGGTTACGCTGGTAAACAGTGCAAAGCGACCACCAGGGAATTGTACCCAAAGCAGGGTTGCGTATAGGCCCCCGCGTAATATGCCGGCATTTTTTTTAGCATTTTCGGTACAATCCGCGAACCCAGCACTTTGGGCTCGTGATGCAGCATTTTGGGGGAAACGGAGCACTTGGCCGTTGTGTATCAAAATTGAGAGAAGAAAAACTTCCCAAACAAGAACGTCACTTCCGCATTCCGTGGGTTAGCTTCTTGTTGAGTAGTTTATGAATTGTTTACCATGGCAGACTCGAGGAAGTCTCTTATTGAGTGTGTTTCGGATGACAGTGATGAAGATGAAGATACTGTAGAGAGCGATTCTTGCCCCCCACCCAAGATCGTTTCTCTTTTGGATCGTCTCAAACCAGCGAAACTTGCTGAGATTGCTCGAAACCGAACGCAACAAAAGGACCCTCCTCCGCCCGGCGTGCGTCGGTCAATGGGGGAGCAGTGCTGGAAATCCTAAATCAGTAACACCTACGCAGCGAGTTCGAGAATTCAGCGCCGAACCGTTCTCAGTTTCTGCTGGAAGATTATTCTGCTCAGCATGTTGTGAAGAAGTGTCTCTGAAAAAGAGTGTTATTTTTACTCACGTCCAGTCGGGTAAACACGTTGATCGGAAGACGACTCTCTGCAAGAAAGAGGCTCGTGAGATGGACATCGCTGAGAGTTTGAAGTCTTACAACAACGAGAATCATCTGTCGGGCGAGACTCTAGGTGAGGGCCACCAGGTTTACCGAGTTCGTGTGGTCACTTCGTTTCTGAAGGCTGGCATCCCTTTAGCCAAGATTGACCAACTTAAACCTCTGCTGGAGGAGAGAGCGTTCCGGCTGCCTTCAATGCGCAATCTGTATGATTTGCTGCCGTTTATCCGATCGACCGAAACGAACCCGGATCAAGACGGAGATCAGCTCACGCCATGTGTCCGTCGTATTTGATGGCACATCAAGACTCGGTGAAGCCCTGGCTATTGTGATCCGGTACGTCACCGACGACTTCAAGATTCGTCAGGTCCTGGCCAAGGCTCAGATGCTGAGCAAGTCCATGGTAGGTGTTGAGATCGCACGAGAGCTGATTTCCACCCTGAGCACGTCCTATGGTGTTTCCTCAGAGCATCTGCATGGAGTGATGAGAGACCGGGCTTCATCCAACAATGTTGCCATGGACACTGTCCGCATTATCTACCCCAATGTTGTTGATACACTATTGATCACGTTGGGGACAAGTTCCAAACTCCCGCTCTGTCCAGCTTCGCGTCAACGTGGATTTCACTCTTCTCCCATAGCCCGAAAGTGAAGATGCCGTGGAAAACCGAGACCGGCAAGAGCATGCCAACATACAGCGCTACCCGATGGTGGAGCAAATGGGAGGTGATCAAGCACATGAGCCTGTACTTCGGAGACATCCTGAAGCTATTACAGGACAACGGAGAGGTAGGTGCTGCATCTCGTCCAAAGCTAATGGCTGTTCTGCAGGATGCCCAGCAATGTGCACACCTTCAAGTGGAGATGGCAGCTGTGGTTGACATGGGTGAGCCCTTTGTCAAAGCCTGCTACAACCTCGAAGGTGACGGGTGTGATAGAGTGGTCCCATGGTAACAGGACTTGGCCAAGCATGCGCATGCTCCAAAGTTGTTGCGCAATGATGTAGTGCCTGTTGTTGTGTTGAGCCCGATTTTGATGGCGGCTGGTATGTAGTCTTTTCCTTTTTGTACTTCCCGTTTCATGTTTGTTCAGTCCTAATAATTATAATATTCCCGTCCTATCCGGTTGTGTTGCTGTGGAGTCCGGGAGGAGAGTTTTCAGTCACAAGTGGTGCCGAAACCCGTTTGCTGAACCTAGTCTTATTCGTTTTTTCTGACAGTGTTTTTGGTCGACGGCCTGTATAGTGATGGCGTCGGGTCCTCGCGTGGACAATTTGCTGCGACCTTTTCGGGGGCGCGATGATAATCTGGATGAATTCTGGCAGAAGTTCCAGGTGGTGGCAGGCATCCAGAAGCTTGAGTCGTCAGCAGCCCGGATGGCCGTACTCCCATTGTATTTGTCGGGTGATGCATTCACTGTTTGGTGTGAGATGGCCAGTGGTGATCAGAAGGACGAGGCCAAGGTAAAGCAGCGGCTCGTGGAGTCATTTTCAGTCACCCCTGCCGATGCCTACCACCAGTTTGTCAAGCGGAGGAAGCGTGCGGACGAAACTGTCGACGCCTACTTGGCGGATCTTCGGCGGCTGCAACGGCTGAGTGGACACAAGGAGGCAGCGGACGGCAAGGACCCGATCCTCTTGGAGCAGTTCCTGGTGGGGCTTCCGCCTCACTTCGCCGTGCAGCTTCGTTTGAATGCAGCCTCTCAACCTGCTGGGGCTACGGTAAGCTCAGTTGCAGCCCAGGCCCGTGCCCTTTGTGCTGCGGGCAGCTTAGTCAAGGAACCCGTTGCTGCTCTGACAGCCAGCCCTGCTCGACGACCCAGTGGCAGTTCCACCCCTAGTCGCCTCTGCTATGAGTGTCATCAGACTGGGCATTTGCGGCGCGATTGCCCGAACCGGCAGAGACGTCCTCCTGTTTGCTTTCATTGTCAGCAGCCCGGCCATGTCAAGCGTCAGTGCCCTCAGCTGAAGTCTAGTGGTGGTGCCAGTTCTTCGCAGACGCCCACTAGTACCGCCTGTGCTGCGGGCTCGGGCTCGTCGACCACGGGCAATGCCTGCCTCAGTGTCGTGGCAAGTCCCTGTTCGTCGCTGCCCAGGATTCATGTCTATAGTGAGGGCCAGGCCAGGCTGCGTGCTGCCGTGGATTCCTGCTCTAGTAAGTCCTTGATCAGCTATCGCGTTGTCTCCGAGTTGGGTGTACCCGTTCAGCTCGTAGAGTCCAACCCGCGCATTACCGCCATCGATGGGCAGGAAGTTGTGGTGTCTGGGCAAGTCGGGTTGACTGTTCATCGTGACGATGACAAAGTGCACCTGCCTGAAGTTACTGCTGATTTCCTCGTTGTCGACACCTTGGATGTGGTTGACGCTGATATCCTTCTGGGACTGGACATTATCTCCTCCGTGGGTGGCGTGCACCTTGGTTATGCCCCCGATGGTGTCCTCGCAACCGTATGGTTTGGTCGCCCGCGTGATCCGTCAACTGCATCCGATACCACGTCCGAGTCTGACAACCCGGAGAGCTCCGCTAAGTTGCCACGCGATGTCTCTGTGTCACGAGATGGGCCGAATGTCACCCTGTCCATGGGTGATGCTGAGGTCGCCTTCGACGCCGAGCGTGGTTTTTGGGAAGTCCAATGGCGTTGGTCGGCAGGCGCACCACCGCAAGCCCCTATTGGCTCTGGTATTGGCGAATACTCCCGCCAGAAGTTGTCACCGGAGCAGGAGGCCAAGTTCCAGGCCGAGATTGACCTTTGGCTGGCGGAGGGATGGCTTGTACCGTATGATGCTGATCGACATGGTCCACCAGGCGCCGTACTGCCACTGTTGGCTGTGTGTCAGGAACATAAGCCTACCACACCCGTGCGTCCGTGTTTGGACTACCGTGCGCTGAACGTTCGGATCATCTCCAGCCCTGGTCGGGAGGCACCCGCGTGCCCTGAGAAGCTTCGCGAGTGGCGGCAACGGAAAGGCGCGTCCAAGATTGTCGACATCCGTAAGGCCTTCCTGAATGTTCGCATCCACCCAACCCAGCAGCGGTTCCAGATGGTCGTTTGGCAAGGACGACAGTACGTGATGGAGCGCATGGGCTTTGGCCTTGCCATTGCGCCGAAAGTCTTGGACACTATTGTGAAATGGGTGACCCGTGACTTCACCGACACCGATAATTACATTGATGACATCATCACGCCGACAGATCAGGCGGAGGCCCTTGCGGACGCGCTGACCGCCCATGGATTGCCTACGAAACCTGCTGTGGACGTTGATGCGACTCGCGTCCTTGGTCTGCAGACGCACGATGGCCAGTGGGAGCGACGCGAGCCACTGCAACCCCCTCCTACCCAGATGACTAAGCGGAATGTATTCCAGTGGTGTGGTCAACTGACTGGTCATTATCCGGTCTGTGGCTATCTGCGCCCTTTGGCTAGCTGGCTGAAGCGCTTGGCGTCTGCAACAACGGATGCCTGGGATGCAGCTGTCCCCCAGGAGTTGTGCGACCTTTGCCACGATGCGGCAAAGCGTGTGGAGGGCGACGACCCTGTTCATGGAGCCTGGACTGCGGACGATCCCCAAGACTGGCGTGTTTGGTGCGACGCCTCCAGCATTGCCTACGGTGTCGTGCTCGAAGCTGATGGTACTGTACTCGAAGACCAGTCGTGGCTCCGCGGTGCCACCGATAAACGCCACATCAACGTCGCCGAGCTAGATGCCGTGGTAAAGGGCCTCACTCTCGCGTCGTCTTGGCGTATCCCGAAGTTGTGCATCATGACCGACTCCCAGACGGTGCATGGGTGGCTGCGTTCTCTGTTCGACAACATCAAGCGGGTTCACGTCAGTGGGTTGCACGAAGTCCTCGTGCAACGCCGGCTGCAGGTTATTCTCGATATCGTCGACTCGTCCGGCATGAGTGTTGACGTGGTCTGGGTACCCACACAGCAAAACATTGCTGATCAGCTCACACGTGTCCCACCGCCGTTCCTCCGCTTTGCCCGCCAGACTGCGAAGATGTCTGGCCCGATTGGTGATGCCGATGTCGTTGGCGCCGCTGTCGCTGATGATGCCGCCTGGCGTGTCCTAACCCTGGGCGAGATTGCCGCGGCGCAGCAGCAGGACGAGGTGATTCCGGTTGTCGTCGAGGACCTTGTGGCCGGCCATGCTGTCCGTTCGCCGGCATTCCAGCGTGTTCAGCAGCAATTGACCGTCGTGGATGGCGTGCTGATGCGGAGCGTCAAGCTACCCCCTAACGAGGTCATGTCAGTACCAGTCGTGCCGAATGACATCGAAGAGTTCGTTCTTCGGGGTGCCCATCAACAGACTGGCCACGCCTCCTGGGAGGTCATGTGGCGGTTTCTCCGGGGTGTCTGTTACTTCCCCAACATGGCCGAGAAGTGTCAGGTCTTCATCCGCCGCTGTCCCCCCTGTACGGCTGCAAACCCTCGTGGTGGCCCCGGTGTGCCACCGACACGACCTGTCTCCGCCAACGGCCCCTGGAGTGTTGTCTCCATCGATACCTTGGAGCTTGGTGTCAGCCGTTCTGGTTACCGCTACGTACTCGTCTGCATCGACCATTTTACCAAGTGGGTCGAAGTTGTCCCGATGAAGCGCCACTGTTCAGCGGAGGTCGCTGCTGCCATGGTCTCTATCTGCTCACGATGGGGCGCGCCTGAGGTTGTGCGTAGCGATAATGGCACTGAGTTCGTCAATGCCACCATTGTGTCAGCCCTGTTCAAGTCCTTTGGCGTCACGGTCCAGCGGGGCGCTGTTCGACATCCCCAGTCACAAGGTTCTGTGGAACGTTTCAACCGGACGCTGTTGACGATCATCCGCAAGACGCTCGAGGATGATGACGACTGGGAGACTGCCCTCGAGCTTCTGTTGTTCCACTACCGTTCTCGCCCGCACACCGCTACGAAGATTAGCCCGATGGAAGCCATGCACGGCTGGCAGCCTCACCGTCTTCTCATCGAACAAGATTCCACTGAACTGTCCGACAGCGCCTGGGTGGACAAGTTGCAGCGGAAGTCTGCCCGCCTGCGCGATCACCTTGAAGTTGAGCTAGCACGGCTTGACTTCCTCGATGCTCCCGTGCCCGAGTGTCCATACCCCGTTGACACTGCCGTCCTTCTTCGGCGTCCGGAGCGGCATTCGAAGATTCTCACCCCCTTCGAATCTGGATGGCACGTAATCCGCATCATCTCCCCGTCGACAGTCCGTATTGCCACAGCTGATGGTCGCTCCAAGCTGGTGAACGTGGATTTGCTGAAGAGAGATCCACAGGCTCCTGATGCGCATGGCCCTGCCGACGCGCCGGCGGCAGTGGAGGCTGACGACCAGGACCCCGTTGTCCAGCTCGTGTTGCAGACGCCCCCCGTACATGATGCCATGCCTGACACGCCCGTCCATGGCTATGGTTTGCGCGACCGTTCCAGTCTGCAGGTCCCTGGTCGGTTCCGTACGTAACTCACACCGTTGTGTTCATTTACTGCAGTTTCTTGCTGGTTATTCTGGCCTTTCCCGCATCCATATGACATGCCTTGTAGAGTCCTATCACCACTGTGTGTGTGTCTCTAGTTTTGGTGCAAAATCTGTTTTGTCCAATGCCGCTCGCTCGTTAGTCTCCGTTTCCTCTTCCATGTACTGCATGTGTCATTCTGGACTTTTTCGTGTGACGGTACATTGCACCATATGCTTTGTGGCTGCTCGTGCCGCATCTATTCTGGTTGCGTGGGTATTCTCTTTTCTATTCGGTTCCGGTATGGTTGCCCTTCACTTGCTGTTTGCCATCTTTTATGTATATCCGTGTGTATGGTCCATCTGCGAGACCGTTGTCTTCTTTCCCGCATTTTGTGTCCCTTCTTTCCACTTTTGTCCCCTTGGAATGTTTCTTTGCCCGTTCACTTTGGTGATACAATTTCCCTGTTACCAGGCGGAGGAGTGTGATAGAGTGGTCCCATGGTAACAGGACTTGGCCAAGCATGCGCATGCTCCAAAGTTGTTGCGCAATGATGTAGTGCCTGTTGTTGTGTTGAGCCCGATTTTGATGGCGGCTGGTATGTAGTCTTTTCCTTTTTGTACTTCCCGTTTCATGTTTGTTCAGTCCTAATAAT